TACTTAACGGGCAGGTTCAAAAAAGGCATGTAAGTACTTAAGAGGATGTCGCTCGGGTGAACACACTGGTGTCACACTTTTGCGTATGTATATATATCAGGTACTCACATTGATAGGGATGACGTCCAGTCAACATGTCGCTCGGGTGAAACACACCATGTGTCACACCCTTGCGTATGTGATATACACTAGGTGTATTCACATTGATAGGGATGACGTCCAGCTGGGACTAGGCGCCATCAAATGACGTCAGTCAGTTACGTCATTGAGCAAGCTTAAATATATTTAAGCTCGCCCGTTGGGATGCGCATCTATAGAGATGGCACCCATCATTACATATTAACCAATCAGTAGTTAGATTTATATTTAGTTAAATTCTATTAAATATAAATCAGTCTTGAATTTACTTAAACATACACACCACGCACGAGAAGTTGAAAGACTTCTGCGTGACGTCGGTGTTCTAGTGTTAAGAAGTTCGTTGCACTCTCGCTTAAGCGAGAGGCAACTGGTGGTACGACTGCTTAAGCAGTCGACCAACCTCCCAACCACCCTCGCACGCGAAGGTAAGACGGTCTAACCGCTTCCTCGCTTGTGCATAAGGTGTGTGCTCGAAGTACGATACAACTTCGTAGAAGTGCCCGTCTACACTTCGTGCGTTGGTTCTTTGAACCTTTGAGTTTCTAGCTTGCTCTTGCACTCTGTGCATTGGTTCTTTGAACCTTAAGCTATCGCTTGTAGACTAGAAGTCCCTCCTAGTTCCTTAGAAACAGGGTGGCCTCTTAGTCGTTAATTAGTTACTTAGAACTAAGTGGCTTTAAGGCGTCAACTTAAATTAGTTCTATAGAACTACGAGGCTTTCAGCCTAAAAGTCTTCCTCTGACTAAAGAGCTGGGTAGCTCCGCTACATTAACTACCTTAAGCTTAATTACCATAACTGCCTTGAGCTTGTTTACCATAACTGCCTTGAGCTTGTTTACCATAACTGCCTTGAGCTTGTTTACCATAACTGCCTTGAGCTTGTTTACCATAACTGCCTTGAGCTTGTTTACCATAACTGCCTTGAGCTTGTTTACCATAACTGCCTTGAGCTTGTTTACCATAACTGCCTTGAGCTTGTTTACCATAACTGCCTTGAGCTTGTTTACCATAACTGCCTTGAGCTTGTTTACCATAACTGCCTTGAGCTTGTTTACCATAACTGCCTTGAGCTTGTTTACCATGATTGTCGCAACTGGAGGAGGTTCACCATCTCATTGACAATGTATTTTAGGCACATGACGCAGCTTTTCTCGTGTCTTTCTCCGTGTTTAAAATTATACGCCTTGCAAGCTTCATCGGTAGCACCTAGTGTATTTCTTTTGTCAAGAACTTGACGTGTATGTTCTTACTGTACATGGTTTGGTCATATCAAAGTTACTCGCCGACATGTGTCAAGGTTTTTCGTTTACTCGCACGGGCAGGGCAACACATGACTTTCAGCGGCATCCTAGTTAGGATCGAGATGACAGCTTTACAAGTCTACGATCTCGGTAGACCATCAACTTCCCTTTGTTAGGCTCTTCGATATTATCGATAGATTCGCATCAAAATGCCGGTTGAGAATCACTTCTTTTTGTCAATTCTGTACTTAATTTCTCGAAATTCTCGCACACCAAAAAGTACCACACAAATAACCTTTTTTATTCGATGAGATTTCGGGTATTTGGATCCCTCCTGTGCTCCTTGCATCTACCGCTTTATCAAAGGCGCTTTATTACCTGTTCACCCATTCCTCCCACTCAATCTCGGTTGATTCGCAAATCTCCACCTTGCGCTGCGATTTGCGTCATCGCTGATGAAGTTCTTACAGGAAAGGTATCGATAAAACATGTAACCACCAACTCGATTTGTTTGTCATTCTCATCTTATCATAATATTTCCATAGACGATCGATACCAACTCGCACTGGATATCAAAATTCATGTTTGATCGGGGTATCGACCTTAAGCGCATCGTTGTAATTCCTGACAACGAGGAGGTAATCGTCTCGACGGTCAAGGAATTGTCGCAAATGGTTGGCCTCAATGGATATGTGATTACTACGGGAGGCATTGGTCCTACCCATGATGATATCACGTATCAGAGTGTGGTATGTTTTATATATTGTTCACTTCTTTGAAGGTTGGTATGATTGACCTTATCTCATTTGCTGGCCAGGCAAAAGCATTTGGTCGTGGTCTTGAGTTTCATGAATCGACACTAAGAAAACTTGAGGCTGGTATGGCGGATCGCGCTCAAGAACTGACGGAGGGACGGAAGCGAATGGCTCTACTGCCTGCTGGCTGTAAGACGCTCAGTACAGAGTTTTGGACGCCGATTGCGGTTGTGGAGAACGTATTCATTCTACCTGGAATTCCTTCTATGGTTCGCTCTATGCTGACGTCAAATGAAGAGCACTTCGTTGGGGTTCCTATCTTCCGTGCAATCGTAAGTGTTACGTGCAACAAGGGATGCCGTTACCATGATAAACAATTTTGCTCACTTTGTCGTTTGCTTTGTAGGTTAAAACACTGAAACTGGAGGGTGACCTAGCAGCTCAGCTGACCGCCGTGCAGGATGCGCACCCGAACGTTGCGATCGGTAGCTACGTTAACTTGACGAAGGACGAGACGGGCGTGCGCGACATGAGCTTTAACACTCGCCTTACTATTGAAGGACGTGACAAGACGGAGATCGAAGAAGTTAGTGCCGAAATTGAAAAGCTCTTCAATAGCGAGCGCGAACTTCTTCCTGACGACTAATTCATTACTGTATAGAAATTCTTACTTGATGCGTGTCGGTTGATAGATTTGAAAGATACTGACTTGACTGACTGGAGAAATACTGACTGACAAATCATGACACAATGATTTAGTATCGCAGATAAGCCAATTACGTGCAGTGCATCGCTTTGGTATTGAGTTTTAATCACAAAGGAGGTATGCTAATACGTTTATTAATAGCAAACATTATACCTCCATGATATGCTGGTATCAGCTACGCTTTCCATTGTCACCTCCATGGCAATCATTTTCACTTTATAGAACGCACACTATCGATAAGAAAAACCCCAAACGTTGCATTTGTTTCGACAATTTCTACGCTTACCATTATGCTGAGTTTAGCATGGAGTTGAGAACATGATGCAGGAGGGTGTACTGCGAGTCGCGGGACTGCGCCGGCACACTATTGAGACCTGTCTGCAATTCTTGCAGCACGCTGGTCACGAAGCCGGCGATACTTTGATCGCGCACGTCCATAACTAGAAGTGACTCTCGCAGCCAGTCAACTTTCGTCGCTAGGTCATCCACCAGGTCAGCCCCTAATTGCTGCACTAGGCAGAGGATCAGCATCTGTGAGAGCTTGGGTGGGCGGCTGCTCAGGACAAGACGCGGATCGCACTGCTGGCAGGTAAATGCTACAAGATTTACATTTTGTGCACCAAGTGCGAACTTAAACGCCTCCTCCCAATCATTTCGTGCGATATAATCCAGCACAGTACCCTGCTGTGCCTCGAGCTGGAGCTCTTCAGGGGACTTTGCAACCGGAGCTAATGCTACATCCATACCCCCAGCATTCACAGTTAAGCTCAGTTGCTCCACCTGCTTGCTCAAGCTTTCCACCACCTCCGTCAGCTGCTCCAGTTGGCTTGCAACCTTTGCGTTGCTGGTGTTTTGCCCACTGCTCTCAAATGCACTACGCGTGCCCTGCACAAAAGTGTCATTAATTTGCTCGAACATTTTCTGCGTGGCGGCCTGGAAAGAAGGGATCAAAATGTCCTGGAAACACTCACGGAAGGACTCACGGACAGGCTGACGAACATCTTCCACTACGCGCTGCACCATGTCGTCGACTCCATTGGCCAGCTGGTCCGGTAGCGATGTCGCCAGCGAGTCATCCAGCTTCCGTTCCATCAACGGAATCAGTTTTTCGCTAATAACATGCTGGAATCCATTCTGCACGGGTTTCATGAAGTTGTTCTCCATAGTGTGCAGCACGATACGGCCCATTGCGGGCACAAGAACGGATTGGAGCTGCTTCTGGATCGACTTTTCCACTTGAGTTGATACTTGCGTCGTCAGATGATTACTTAAACTTCCCATAATTCCACGCATTTGTTCACGGAACTCCTCATCACGCTGGAGCTGCGCCGCTTCCATGCGGCGTAGCGTTGCAATAAGCGTCTGTTGCTGCGTTTCACTCGCTGTATCGTCAACCGACGGGTCATACTGCACAGATGATTCATCCTGAAATGCACGAACAGAAGATGACGGGGAAGAGCGATTGTAGAATCGCAGACTAGGAAGCATTCCCATTTCACCTGTCACAGATGACGTTGACACCGACGCTGCATCGCCAGCAGTAGTAAGATGCAGTGAGCGAGCGCCAGTGCTTCGTGTGCTCCGAGCTGGCGACGAAGGAGTTGGAGGTACTCCATTAGGAGCCATTTGGAGTGGAGCTTGCTGACCAGCGATGCTGCCTTCCTCATCCTCATCTTCTTCAGCGATTTCGGTTTCAGGAGCCGAAATCGCAGCAGATGCAGCCCGCGGGGATTCCGCTGCCGTCTGATACGAAGTCTCAATGCTCTCCCCTTCGGTCGTCACAGCACCAACCGATTGGCCAACGTTTTCACTAGCCTCAATGTCATCTTCTAGAAAGCCATGAGCGCCAGGTATATAACATTCACTGGCAGCCACGTGATACCGCTGAATAGCTTGTGTCTGCAGACAGTACAGCTGCATAGAAAAGTTTAGCCCACCCAACATGGAGGTCAAATCACTGCCATCGCGTGCTGGTTGGCTTGGAGCAGTACGATTCAGTACACCCATACTGAGCACTGGATAGGCCAAAGCAAATTCCGTCACGTTGTCAAAGAGGCGTGGAGTGAGAGCGTCAGAGCTGGGGGCTAGGTGAAAGGCATATATCAACGGCTTGGAGCGGTCGGCAACAAATAAGAACTGCGTAGTTGGGTCAAAGATTGTCTCGTGCAAAAGTTCATGTGCCTCATCACGAAGCAACACCGTCTGGTAGCATACAGGAGTATTGCTCTCCATCAGCGCCGCATTCCACAGCGACAAACGCGTATTTGATTCGCCACCTATAAAAAGACCCTGCTGATTGAGAAAGTTGCCACCGTAGAAGTGAAGACTGTCAACAGTCTTACCCTCAAATGGCTCAAAGCGATGAATACACTCGGCAGACTGCCCAGGCTGCCAGTCTTGCACACGATATACTTGCACAAAACCATCACTGCCAGCAGTGATTACACATTCGCCGTTATGTGGCGCAAAAACCATGTCGTTAATCTGATGACCAGAATCCTGTCCGCACACGACACTGATATCGTAAAGGTTTTCGGCGCCACTACCATCAGGGGCAACTCCCAACAGGTCAGCAATAAACACCAGGCTTCCATTAGCAATAGCAATCGTGTTTGATTCGGATGGGTGCCATTTCACACGTCGCGCTTGTGTCGGCACCAACTTTATCAGCTCGCGGCTCATGGGATCTTTCTGGATCGCCCATATTGCCACATGGTTGTCTGTACCAGAACTCAACAGCAATTCCGATTTACTGTTAAAAAAAGCCAACTCCGTAACCGTGTGATTTTCGTGTTTCCGCAGCAACAATCGATCCACTGAACTTTGACTAATTACTCGAATTAATCCATTTCGAATCGGGTACGAAATAAAGTGCTCGTTCACTGATATGAGGTTTCCCAACTGCGACGTACGTTCCGAATTGTACAGTGTAATGGGCATGACTTCCAGCGATCTACTCTCACCAGAAGCATCTTCTCCACGCGGATGATACTCCACAGTTTCTCCACTAAGTCTCACCCCAGGAGGCGCCGTCGGGGCATCAGCTGTTCCAAATCCTGAGCTAGTACCGGCACGTCTGGGAGAACCTGTTATCGAGCTCGACGCTGATCTACCTGCTCCATTACTATAAATGCCATCCATAGAGGCACTAGCAGCACTGCGTAGTGCTGCAGAATACATCCCTCCACTAGTAACAGAGACGCTGGGTACCGGCTGGAACTGAGGGAAAGACGGTGGCAATGGTGCCGATCTGGGCGGCGGAAAAGCTGCGTGGTTGGACAAATTCTGTTGGAACTGAGGAAGGTGCAAGCTTGGCGTGCTCATGGGAGGAATGGGCACTGACCCCATGGGACGCAAGTGGCTCTTGGCCATGGGCATTGAGTTAGAAGATGAGGTCAAAAACTGCTGCAAAAACTGGTTCGGACTAGACACGGATAAAGGTGCAGGAGGCAGAGGAGGAGGAGGAGGCTGATGTTGCAGCAATTGGTGCAATGAAGTGCTCTGCGTCACTTCAGGGGAGACGTGGTCGAGTGGTGAAAAGCGGGCTAGAAAAGTAATTATTTTAGAATATGTCCCTCTTGATAAAGAGGAAGTATCAAGTTGCTTTTGACTTACCTACGCTGAGGTTAGGCGGCATGGGAGCACTTCCAGGAGGCGGCGCGAGGCTAGAGCTGGCCGTACTGCTGTTGCTATTGCGGCTGTGGCTACGGCTGCCGCTGTCTTTGCGCGCGCTCATGCTGGACGCTTCGGGGATTTTAAGTAACGGTAGATGCTTTTTTGGAAGAGGGGGACCCAATGTCAGGAGGGGCGGTAAATTAATTTAGCTTGATTTGAAAGTGGGTCATCCCTCTCACGGTTAGGAATGTAATATTTGTAGAAAACAACGACATTCTAATATTATATAGTGGTCGACACTTTGGATCAGCGTTACTGACTGACCTCCTTGAAATAACTACAGTTGAACGTTCCTGACATCTTTGACATCCTCATGACCTTCCACTGTGCCACGCAAGTGTAGCATATACTTTAATTGTGATAACGCATACAGCGGCGTCTGGACCAGATATGTGGATTGCAAGACTATGTTATTGCGGAGAAGGAGAGTAAGGACCATAGTTTGAACTGCATGTCACATGAGCTCTAGAGTCTGTGCATTTGTAAAGTTCGCCGAACGTTGTCGTAGAGCGCCATCATGCCGTTTCAATGAACGTGTAGTGGAAACTGCCACTGCTATTTGCACGAAGAAGGTAACAGCACCTGCGCTCTCGACCTCGGTGATGTGTTGCTTAAAGACCAACAAATTTCTTAGGTCGAGAGCGCAGTGATAAAGCGCATGAAGAGTATCTGAGCTCACTGCTGACAACCCCCCGTGCTACTTTCACCAGAAGACTGCGACAAGCGCCAGCATCACATACAGGTGTGAACACTCTGCAACAGCATGGACATGTATTGCATGCCGGCCACATTAAATTGTAGCTTTCTAACACTGAAGAAGTCTAAGGCATTGATGGCATATGCTCTAAGAGAATTGACAGCAATCAGGTTCCTGTCGCCCGTCTGCCAGAGGCAAGCGATTGCATTGATGTTGTGAACATCTGAATCACAAATGGATCAGATATCTCGCCATTGTGCGAGGATTCTAAATGTGACAATCTTTGCTTCAACAATAGACTGCGTCTCATCCAATACAAATAAACATTCTCGAAGACCTTTACAATTCGATATCACCACAACCTCTTCATAACCGAAAACTCATAGAAAATACCCCGTCTCTTCTTCCCTCAATTCATTTCAAGCCACAAACATTCTTAATAGTTCAGAATGTACGGCGTCTTGCGTTTCGTCAAAGCCGGACGATGTGCCTCGAGTCTGCATCCACTCTCCAGTCTACCTACTGCACGCAATGAGTTCGTACGATCTTTTGTGCAACGACCACACACTAGATCTCCGTCATTCCTCACGTCTTTGGCCTCCTCGCGCTCCCGTGGCACATGTGACGCAAGTTTCCGACGCTTCATCTCTTCACTGTCTAAAGCATCAGAAAATGGAGTAACTACTGCCACCGGCAACATGTCACATCTTGAGAGACTTAAGGACCAGTGGCGCAAGTACGGCGTTGTGGCAATTGGTACGTACTTGAGCATGTACGGAGTAGTGCTGAGCTCCATTTACCTCGCTATTGACCGGGGATGGGTACATACTAGCAAGCGATCGAACTCCATGGAAAATGAGAAAATGGACGATAGTTTTGACCTCGTCACTACAACCAATAGATTCGTCAAACTGGCGGAAGATTTGGGTATTGCGCAGTACTTGGAGGTGGAGCGTGTGAATGCCAAGACGGGCTCGTTTCTATTGGCCTGGATTGCTACCAAGTTCACGGAGCCTGTACGTCTGGCGCTGACGATTGCTATGACACCGCGAATTGCGCGTTTCTTAGGACGAGCGCCCAAGCTGCCACCAAAAACTCCCGGAAAACTTGCGAACATGATGAAGAAAAAGCTGGAGCAGCAGAAACCTAAGGCGTAAAGTGACTGAAATCAATACTAGCGAAATCTCAACAGCTGCGGTGTTTGCAGAAAGTCATTTACGGGTGCCACTTTTTTGGATGACGTGTGCTTGTTAGGTTGACAGGACAGAGCTGGAGTTGGCATCAGCGACACAAGTAAAGCAAGACTTTCGAGTATGATAACCAATTATATGACGCAGGATAAAGTAATTGGCCAGCCGGAACTGCCTCAAGGAGCACCGCCAAGAGTGCTATGATGCCTCAAGGTCCTCCAGCGCGATGTCCGATGCTATTAAGCAAATTTGAAACCTGTGCGTAACAGGCAGACCAATTTCAGATCTTCCTCTTAGAGCTCACCCCCAGATTTTAGTAGTACGCCACCGCGTGATGTTTCGATAGGTGTACCGCCTGGAATGTCACCTTATGGGGATGGGGGCCACGTCCGGCTTTTTATGGTAAACCAAATATTCAAGACATGTGGTTATAGATGGCGACAGCCAAGTAAGGTGTTGAAGAGCTCGAGACATTGGTTACGAAGCAACAACCTCTACCTGGTAGCACTTCACTAGATCAGGCTTTTTAGTTGCAGAACCAACGCATTTGGTGCTGATAGAGACAACGTTAAAAGTAGTTTCGGGCTATAGATAACGAAGCGCTATTATATCTTGGAATTCTGCGAGGTGTTGCAGGTTGGCCCGGCTCCACAGCACAAGACAAGCCGGAATGACGTTCAGGAATCATTATCGTACAGTCAAACTGGTTGTAAGTCCAGAAGGAGGAGTCCAACGGGCAGAAGCTGCAGGCCAGGCGGACATCGTCCTGTTTGAGGGCGACAAGGATAACGATAGCATTATCATCGTAAGCAATATATACCCCTCCAAAATTTTATATTTGGCCAACGACCCGTACGTACTAGCTACCTCAGTTGAAGTTGAAGTGACTTTTTAAGTTGAAGTGAACAGGGTTACATCATTGAGATATCGGATTGGCTATTTTAATTGCCAATCACAGCTAAGCAATTGAATCAAACACGATGAAGCGAGGGCGAGTAGCGACTCGCGGTTCGACGCGCCATGCGCTGAGGCGTAAGAACGTAGTAGTGGATGAAGACGATGAGGAAGAAGGAGAGGATATGCGTCAAGAAGAGGAAGAGGAAGAGGAAGAAGAAACGAAGAAGACGCCACCGTTAAAGTTGACGCGTGCGCAGACCAGGAAACAGGAGGAAGAGGCCAAAAAGAACAGAAAAAATGGCAGGAAGAAGAGAAAAGAGGAAAGAGAAGAAGAAGACGATGAAGATGATGAAGAAATGGAGGAAGATGAAGAGGAGGAAGAGGACGAGGAAGAGGAAGAAGAGGAAGAGGAGGAAGAGGCTGACGTTGAGGAAAGACACAGAGGGACCCGCGAACGTAGAAGCAATAAACCGCAATTAAGAGGAACACAACGTCCTTTGAGAAAGAAACAGCGATGCAAGATCATTGTTTCGGAAGACGAAGAGGAGGAGGAAGAGCAAGAAGAGCAAGAAGAGCAGGAAGAGCAAGAAGAGGAAGAAGAAGAAGAAGAAGAAGAGGAAGAGGAAGAGGAAGAGGAAGAGGAAGAGGAAGAGGAAGAGGAAGAGGAAGAAGACGAGGAAGAGGATGATGATGAAATGGCGAAGAAAGCGACACCTCAGAAAAGAAAGATGCAAATGCGAAATGGAGAGAAAATGGCCATGCTGGGGCGAAAGACGAGGGCAAAAATAGTTGCGGCGTCGGGAAGTAAACATCCGACAAAAATAGTAAGACGACAAATTCAGAAGAAGGCTGAAGAGAGTACCGAAAGTGAGGGACAGGAAGAGCAAAGTCAGGAGGAAAGTGCCAAGAGTGAAAGTAAGGAAGAGGACAAATTGGGAAGTGAACCGTCTTCTGCAGCTACGACGCCGTCGTCATCTCCTGCGAAGCGCAAGGGATTGTCAATTAACACACTGGTGAACGATGCAGATGAGGAGGAAGACCATGTCGAGCAAGCAGATGTTAGCATGACATTAGCACCGGCATCCGCGTTAAATGCTGGAACGAAGAATGCTACTGAAGTTCCAGATCAACACTTTCGTGAGGTGCTGAGTAAAGCCACTTCCGCGCCAAAGTTAATGGAGGTACGAAATGAGGATGATTGTTGCTGCAATCTGGACATTGTAGTATCTGTAGTAGACATTTAATCTTAAAATGCCGCCAGGTTATGACAGAAGCATGTGGCCGGCTGGTCCGAGAGGGGAGGCCACCAAGCCGACTATTTTCTGTATGCTTGCTAGGTGCTGTGAAGGAAGACCCTAAGGTAGACTGGCGATTTGTTTCTGTTTACGCTTTCATCTTGGAAAAGCTGACACGGTTTTGACGTCGATGGTCGTATTGTAGAGATTTAAACATCCTGCGATGCTCAAGTATCTGCTGCGGTTACTCCGGTCGAAGCACTACATAGGAATGAAAGATTCATCCGAGCACGGCACGACCACTTCACTGGTACCAGGACACCTTCCCGGACCAGCAGAATATATTCATCTGTCGCTTCCTGTATTGGTGACAAACCTTTTAGTACAGATAATGAAGGTATCATGCGGTCGGTGCTTAGCGTAAAATGCTGTTGCTAACAATATTTTTGTGCATGTGCATTTGCTAGGATCTTGACGAGTGGCCGATTGATAGCGTTAAAGTGTTTCTGGACGATTCACTTTACTCTCGAGTCTGGGTCGACCACGAGCTAAGTCAGCTCTTTGTCCAAAATGTGAAAACAGTGCTAGAATCGGAAAACGGTGGTCAGCAATTTGCTCAACCTCTGGTTCGACAACGTTTTCAGGGCGTTACAGTGATGCAGGAGATGAGAGAACTTATCACCACTCACATTCGGTCACGTCTTGTGGAGCTGGAAAAGGAGCGATCAGGTAGCGTGGGTGGAGCTCCTGGTGCTGGTGGCAACCACGCTGTTCGAAACATGATCATGACGCTTGCAGAATGTGCCAGTATCCCTCAGGTGAGACTATTTGGTGCCGAGAATCTGGAAGCTTGGCTGCAAAACCCGTCTGTTAAAGGCCCTGCTAAAGAGTTGCTGAACAAGATTGTCTCGCTCTGCAAATCGACAAGCTCCATTGATACTGCTACGGTGGACTTGCTATTGAAGTTAAAGCTTAAGTCGACCATGTTCCAACTGAAGGTTGAAGCCATTACCCATATTGTATGCAATCATCCCGTATATTTGAAGCGTGCACTATCAATGTTCATTGCCCAGGAGCGCCCCAATAACATGTCGAGAGATGTGGACAACATGAAAATGCTCCAGCACATCTTCCGAGCATCGCGCTCGACGTCTGCTTCCTCAATCCTGGGTAGCTCCGACGATTTGTTTTACCGTCGCCCGATTGAGCACCAAGGCACTCTCGCCAGTCGAGAATTGGCGCGTGTATTTCGAGAAATGGCCAGCATTTCTGACGTAACTCCTGTGCTGAAAACTATCGTTAGGAAGATTCTCAAGCAACTGACATTCGAACAAGTTGACATTAAGGCGCTGTGCGTTGGAATTCTCGATAACGATGGTCACTGGGATGCGTTAGCCGGCGATGCGCGTGTCTTAGACTACATGGGACTCGTCACTGGGGTCGTATGGCTAATTTTGCTCATGCGAGGAGCAGCCGTAAAGAGCCTTCAAATTCAGCAATCCAATGCCGTGAATCGCCAAAGCACCGGGTCGGCTACTCTCGCCTCGTCAGGTCTCAAGCATGGTGGTACACAAGCTATCTCTCGTCGTGGAGCTAACCCGCCGCTTCCACTATCTCGAGCAAACAGGCTTGGTCCTTTAAAAGCCAAGCAGTCACTGAGCAAGTCGTCGCTTTCATCAAGTCACGCTGCGGTTGGCAGTGGTTTCGGTGTCCCAAGTAGCCAAGGCCAAAGTGGAAATAATGGCAGCAATGGTGGTGGCAGTGTAGTGTCTGAAGAGTCCAAAACGGTGAAAATTTCTGTATGGGCAAAGGACGAACTGCAGCAAGCACTTGCTTTCGTGCAGCGAGAGGCAATACTTTGTTGTCGTGACGTGTTAACGCACTTTGGGCTCAACGGTGACTCACCCTTTGAGAAAACGCTCTACGAAGGCATTGTGAAAAAGCTGCTTTTTCTCGATATACCTCCAGATGTGCAACCAACAGAGCACGATCGGACCTGCTTTCAGGCAACGCAGGAGGATATTCCTGTTCACCCAGACTCACTGGAACTGCTTACAAGCCTTTATAACTCTTGCAGAGCAATTGACCGCATGGAGGCCCTCCGCACCTTGGAGACAGTCGTTTTCCGCGGAGCCGAGGCTCATATGCACCGCGAGACTCTGTGGCGTCATCATGCAGACGAGCTTACCTCGTATACTCAGAATGGCGGCGTGCTTGGCATTGAAGTGAACGGTAGTCAGTTCGCTCAGCACTTACTGAAACTGGCGTCGGTACGTACACTCACTGCATGCGCCGTATGATTTGTTTACTAACGTTTGACCGGTGGTTAAACATGTACAGTGGCAAGGCGGAGGGGACAAGCAAGAACAGGAATTTTGCCATTCGAGCCGCTTTTGGATTTGTTGCTCCATTTTGCTGGTAAGGCTACCGATCTATTAATGTAGCTATGGTATCGACGATAACACCTTTGCGCTGATTGTAGGTCGTTGGATGCTTCAACCCCAACACCGTCGGCGCTTTCTTATGGGAGGAGTTTCCAACTTTGCGAGGATTGATGCAGATGGTCATCACCGAAAGATATACGTTTCCTGCTATAAGCACCCCCGATCCGTTACTACTCGGCAAGCACGGAGCTACATTTCCTGACTTGATCCAAGGCAATATACAGTTACGGGACTACGAGCAGCAGCTGCTTCAGCTCAACCAAGCAGATTTGTCCGTGACGGGGGATCCCTTGATGCTGTTTGATGCCAGCGGACTGGCACGCCAACCGCCACCAGCGATTTTGGACCACTTACGTACCCTGGACCGCAAGTTTAAGCTTGGCATGCGACTTCGGCAGAGTCGAAAGAAAGATTTCCTCATGGAGATGGTTGCCGGAAGTGATGCAAAAAATGAACTGCAAAATGCCAACCCGGCGGGTGCTGCTGCGAGTAGTGCGTGGTGGATCGCAGATCTCGTTTGCGAGGACTTCAATACTATGCAGTACCTACCACACGAATGCTTATGCCAACTGCTTCTTCTTGCTCTACGACAGAGCAACCCGAACAACCATGCAGACTTACAAGGACAAGTCTCGCTAAACCAGCCTGCTTTGATTCAAATCACCCCACGCCTACTGAAAAAACTACGCGATTACCTTGCTGATGACAGCAGTAGCTCATCGAATGTCGTTCTATTTTATCTGGAGTGCTTGAATTCCCGTGAGCTGGCTACGCGACGAGTAGCTAGTCGTATTTTGTATTTGCTGACGGCGCCTGGCAGTGTTGATGACGTATCAGTGGAGATTCGTGAGGTCGTTGTTACATTTGGTCCAGAAAGTAACCTGAGCTTTTTGTGGCTTTATGAACTGGCAAAGTTCTCATGCTATAGCAGCATTCGTAACAAAATTTTCCGCTGTCTGGAAAATCTGCTTGAGTTGGAAGCATCGATCCCTTCACTTGGTACTTGCATGAAAGCACTGCATGACTTCTCGAAAAATGGGAGCGACATATCGCCCAGCATGAACTCATCCGAAAATATGAAACAGGATGGTGATAACAATCCCCAGAAAATAAATGTTAAGCAATCCCTGCTACTAGCTGGGGCGTATGGACGACTTCTTGCTGGCCGTGGTATGGTCGCAACAGTGCTGCTTAAGGACTACGACATTTACGCCATTACACTGGAGGTGATATGGCGTGCTATCGAAACACAACTTGAAATTGCTCCGCAGCTTAAGGCCACCTTGGGTATCAGCTTTTCAGACTGCAAGGTTTTCTACGTGACCGACGGAACAAATGCTATCCGCGAGATAAAACTTCCACTCACGATTATTCATGGTGCCATTCGGGTACTCTGCTCGCCACACGCACATAACGAGCTATCTACATTTGACAGCAACGGAACTGCTACCTGTTTAGCAAAGTTAACGCAGAGCTTGTTCCCGAAACCGACGGCGAATACTGCTATCTTGTCTAGCACGGGCCTTATCGCAACAAAGGATCCGCGATTGTATCCAGACCATTTGCTGATCAAGCTCGCAGCAGCAGCTTCTACTACAACGTCGCACCTTTGTGGTACGGCCATTCGCGCCATGACGACTGATACGCTATGGAATCTTCTCGAGCAGTCTGCCCTGAGTGAGCAATGCCTTGAGATGGCATTGCGTTCAATTCTCGAGACAACTAAAAAAGATGAAAGTAAAGCCATCGCTAGCTTGCTCGCGGCGATGAAAACATCAGATATCTCAGTTGCAGCGAGGGCTGTATTAATGCAAATAAGCGCTTATGATGCGATGGACTCACTCACGCCTGCTGTGGTAGAGAAACTGAAGTTGCTGCGTGAGTGGCTTCAAGACCAATGCGGAGCGAAGGGTAGCATGTTAACCGACGAAGATGATGAAGAAGCACATTTGCTATCTGAAGGATTTACCACATTCAAGATTAAAGCATCTGAGCCTAGTGCCACACCTCATATGTTTACGTTTTACGCAGAAGGGATGGAAGAGGTGCCCAAGGTGGAGCCAACACAACAACCAATTCCTGAGCGCCCGAAGACTGATATGACGATTTTCCAGGATACCTACTTCATTCCAACTCACCATCTGCATTCAAAGAAAGATGTGGCAGCGTCTGACGACAGTGTGTCCTTGCTCACCGGTTTAATGAAGGAGCTCAAGCGAAGCTCTAGTTCAGGATCTTTGCCGGCCATTATTGCCCCTGAAAACTTCGTATTAGCCACAAGCCAAGCAGTGCGACGGTCTTGCCCAACGAGTGAGGACACTATCACGCATTCTGCAGCTAATACGTGGAGTTTACTCATGTCATTGCTGCATTTTGCGCGGTCGTCTTGCAGCTCTGAAGCTGCCGCAGCTCAGCTAGCCAAGGCGTTACTAGAAGTTGTAGGCCACTTACCAACCTGCCCAAGCGTTTCTCACCGCAAGGAATGCATTGGATTCGTACGACGCGTGCTGGACAACCTCAGCGAAACGTTTACTGGTTCGTACTCTGCTTCTGTCAGCTTTATCCAGTATTTGTCACAGGCCTCCACGACTGAGGGGCTTTACGAACTTGAAGATCCGTCGGTGATGCCGGACGTTTTTGCCGTTCTGCAGTCGGTGGTACAGTTTATCGACCGAATTTTTGCGTGGTGGAAAATGCATGGTATTACTCTTCGTTTGAATGCTATGGCACTTCACAGCTTGGTGGTGCTCGTGAAAGAAGTCGAGGTACTTCAGCGCCTTCAAGTCAATTATACCGGAAACGTTTATAGGACTTATGCCACGGGACTCTTGACAAGCATAGCGCACGATCAAGGTGACGTTAGTAGGATGCTAAACCTGTTGGACCCTATCATGACTGCGGACCCGCACCTTGGATACATCAGTGGCATTATTTCTATACATGCAGACGTCAAGCGAGACCTCGTCGGAGTATGTACATGTAATACATGTTACTGCTATGCGTTTTACCCACTAACGATTTATCGTGCCGTTCTGCTGTAGGCGCTGTACTTCCAGAACCCCACGCTAGTGGCTGGACTTCTGGGTGAGCTGAATCCAGACTGGGAGTCGTTTGTCAATTTTGATGCTAGTGTAGACCAGCAGCATGATCTGATCATTCAGGACCGCGGGTTACTGTCTCAGGTGGACGATATTCTGCATGATCTGACGAAAGATGGAAGTGGGGTCATGGAACGATTCCGTGAGCTGACCCGGTCTCACCCCATGTTGGTGCTATTACGTTTCCCTCGGCAGCTCATGCAGCACTTTGGCACTGTCTCGCTGTCGCAGCTTTACCTCAAAACAACATTCTTTCAAAACGTACGTCCACCTCGACTCCAGGGGCTTTCTCGGCTATTTTGTGCATGCTAACCATTTGATTGTGATTATGCCTGAAGATTCTAGGCGCAATGCAAATCATGCGGCCCTACATGCGCCATCAGCAAAGCGTGATGAAACCATTTTGTCAGTTCTTGTTCGAGATCCTGCGTGTGATAGTCGACCACAATGCTGTTGAATTCCGCCGACTCGTATCTCACACGTGGGAGTTTTTCTACGATGCGCTGGAGGCAGACTTCGATCTTGCGAGTGATCTGATCTTCTCGGAACCGCGTATCGTATTATTGGAAAGCATTGTCAACATGTATGAGTCGCACCCGGAGACAGTGGCATTTGGAAAAGTCTTGGCACAGCGTCACAATGAATCGAGCTTGCATGCGACGCTAGAATCAATTCGAACAGAACGTAGCAAGCATCAGTCAGCAGCGAGCCAGCAACACCAGATTGAGCAGCTGCTGACTCTAATTGAAAGTCAAGACTCCATGCTTGCTTCAGGTGGTAAGCCGTTGCCGGAACATACCAACATGACTACCATTACCCAAGGACTGCAGGCTATCGATATTGTGTGCGCTAAGACAGATCAGGGGGCAGCAGCGGTGGCTTTGTTGCGACGTTGTACAGCTCCGGTGGCGTCGCTATTGGTGACAGAGAAGGTGACGAAAGCAGTCATGGCAACGCTGTGTCAAACGTTGCTGAATCTGATGAGGTATGACTCCATCTGTGTAGACGATGTCATGCACTATTACGTGCAATGCTTGCGCTCTGTGCGACCTGGTTTGAAAGAAGCTGCAGTCAATACCGTTCTCGAGTTTCTGGTCTTTGCTGATGCGCGACAGCGGCGACAGATCCTGCAGCATCTATTCAATGACCCAAGCGAAACTGCCAAGAACAAGCTTGGAGTATATCTGAAAAGCGCCGCGTTCCGGACGACACTTCTCGTTGCCTCTAAAAAATTAACGCAAACTTGATTTCAAGTAAATGCAGTCTTCTAACGTCCATGAGTTAATCTTTTTTTGCCGACTTTGAAAAAGACATGGAAGTGGCACTGATCACAAGACTAATGAAAACCCCTGTAGCATGGCCAAGCAACGTGCCATACACGCAAGTTAACGGCCATTGCTGTAACATTCCACCATTCAAACGACGTTAAGTAATGTGTCATCCAGCATGTTAAATTAGATGGGTAGTCGTACCTGCCAAGGCCGATCCCAGTCCAGCGGAATAGGAAGGGCACCAACGTATGCGCCAACCATGGAACCAATTGACGAGCACACAAGATAATGCTCTTGCGTATTAGTCACGCTACACTTTACAGTCAGCACAGATCACAAAACCCCGTCCAACAAAACAACACTAAAACTTATTCTACCTGAGTTCCAGCAGCAGATCAAGCCATTTGCGTGGTGCACACCCGAGATGCAGAGCCAAGGGCATTGTCACGCAGCTTGAAAGTAATACTGCCAGCAATAATGTCTGCATCCAAAGACTGTAGCATAAACTCAAAAAAGTATCAGCTGACAGGGTCTCACGCGACAAATTTGTTATTCGTCACGTACTCGACAACTGGAGCTCCAAATAGGACGACAACCACATGAAAAACAGCCGTGCCAAGCATTAACCCAATGATTCCGCTTGTAATGTGCTTGATTAAAGACTGGTTTGAAGAGTGAAGAATTAATAGATTCAACGTGAATGAAAAGCACACGATAGCTGCCACCACAGGCACGAGACCAGCTACAACCGCATCTTCCAAGTAATGACCAAATCTACCCCAAGAAAAGCGTATAGATTAGTTGCAGAATCAGTATTTGTTATCAGATAAGAAGAAAACGTACAAAAAAATAGGAAGATAACGAGCTACAATACCAGGCACTACAAGCTGTAGAGACTGGAGGAGAGACTCCATCGACTGTGGTTTTATAATAAACAGGTGTGTACGAAGTACCTGATATCCTAAGCTTTTGACATATTATCTACGTGCACAACGACGACGATTGGTTGAAAAAGTAGAGCAGCTTAGGATATGTAGTACTATGTACTATAAATATCCATGGTGTTTTCCAGCCGGAAGCGATGGCCCGCGCGTTTAAAGCTACTACACTGCGATACAATAGAGGATGAAAGAGCTCCTGCAATGCCTTCAATAGCTCCGTGGCCTACAAGTTCTGCAGCCAATTTGTCGAAATTACCACAAGAAGCAGGAGTTAAAATGGTACAAAGGAAATACGATTTAGTGAAGCAAAATTGACACTTTTTGTATGACTTTTAATGGCTAGATTTCGACACCTCAAGCTTATTATGCTACATATGACACAATGCCACCACCATATCAAGGTGTTTGTATGGAATTTAATGCAGTATTACAACCTCAGACTTGACAAATGGAAATGATATTGGTTCGTGTAGTGGTCATGACGACGTCGATGCAAAGTGACATGAAGAAGCAAAACCAAGCTGCAGATCACAAAGTAGGTGGCTCATGGCTGTCGTATTGTTAAATATTGAGACTTTAATTGTTTTCTAGGTTTCTAACAAACGAGGGAATGGAGATCAAACCTTGTCAAGTCCTCGACCATTGAAGCATCATCGGACTTTTGCGTGAGAGAACTTTGTCTTACGTGTAAACGGTAGACACGGGCAACTAAGAATTTCGAGACCAGTCAATCGATACAGAGAGTTATGAAACATCCGACAATTGGGGCCGCAAAATGACGTCGAAATGTTGATTCCAGACCAGACACGTCAGCATCAACATTTCTCGATTGAGTCTGTTGTTTGTAAAAACGGGAGAGTGATAGTCGAATCCAGCAACTTGTCGACTTCCCTCTCGTTCACGTGATCTATCGAGTGATGCCGGGTTGGAAGGTACTCGAGACGACATGGCTTTAGCTTGGTAGGAAGTTTGTGCCACTGACGACGGATTTGATACTTGTTTGTTCAACTGTAGCAACTGTATAGAAAAAGCCTTTGATCCACGTAGTAAAACATCGTCATTCCATTCCCAGCATTGCTTTCTGACCTTTAAGAGTCTCACATTGCAATGAAGCAGTAGCATAGAACACCTTTCGAAACTGTTCGCGTCGTTTCGTGCACCCGATCGTCAGAGGTACAGACTAATCATAACACTGCCATAATCGTATTTAGCGACATTCCATACCCACCCACCAATGCACGGGTTGAGAGGTCATATCACCACCACCAGCTTAGGAACATGTCAGGATTCGTGCGGATACTGAAGGATAAAATGCCGGTGCTGGTCTTCAGTGGTCTCTGTGCAGGCACATTCTATGCCGTGTACTATGCACATCATCAGCAGATCACGGAAAAGAAGGTTTGTTCGCATGCATGGGTATCAATTGTAGTAGTACACCCACCTTCGACCTCTCTTGGCCTTCGTTGCTAAATGATTGTGTAGATAATGCGCCAGGGAGTGATCAACGACATGAAGCGTGACAGGATCAAGCAGCAGGAGATGCAGAAGCAACAGGAACATCAGCAGTAGACAGGAACTTCACACAACGTGTGTCGCAGTCAATGATGATTCTCCCAAAGTGTCGTTCACATTTTGTCCCAGTCTTAGGTGCTACTTGGTATACGGTGCACCATTGCTGCTTGAATAACCTTTAGAATAGCTGCACACCTCTCTCGATCCATGTAATCGTACTTGAGAAACATTTCATCCTTCCAGTACTGGAAAAATGCTTCTATCTCCATTGAATCCACGGCGAGCAGTGGGTGACATGAAGTATTTTCGATACTGCTTTGGTTCGTTGCACGTGACGGTTCTTGCAGTGTAGACTCTTTTGTGTCATCACGGACCTCATCAACGTTACTAACGCTAAAGTTTGCTCTAAGCACGCACTCAACACGCTGGAGAAATAGCTGTGATTCTTCAATCAAGTCGACTGGGATCTTGCAAGCATAGCAGCACACCAAAAGTTCTAGAGGGAACTGCAGCAAACTACACACTTGAGCAACACTGCAGAAACGAAGCTGGGGTCGCGACAGGAAAGTTTCTAGCTCCAGAAAAAACGGTTCAATATCCTGCACGTGGTTGAAAGGCACGAAATCGGAGGATGAAGATAGTTCGACGAGTTCCAAGGTCGTCATTGTACTAACGACGAGCTCTATAGCTTGCTCGATGGCCACTGAGTTTCCAGGTATGTCGACAGCGAGGAGGACAGCGGCAAAAACCAGTTGCCAAACTGATGTTGAGACTCGAATCTGTCCACAAGATGAACCGCGATACGGAGTTAAGCTGAGGCGACGGAATAAAGCCACTTGTGATGGCAGTAGTGCAAGGAGCTGTATCTCCTCCTGCCCTCGAGCAATGTTGGAAGTGATCCAAGTAGTAAGCCACGCTCGCAGCAGATCGTAAGTGACGTCTTCGAATTCAAGGTGCAAGTACAGATCGGTCACATAGCACGTGAACGTGCGCTCCCAACGTCGCATCGATGCAGAAAGCTCCTCCAAAAACGACTGCGAATATACGAGGGCTCCCGACAACCAGTGCGAAAAGGGCATAAAGAGCTGCATTGAAGGCTGCATTACCGTGGCTTGTGATGTTTTCGTTCCAGCATTCCAAGTCGCTGACACAATCATTTGCAACGCGCTACCAGCCTTTTCGCCGACGAAACGCTCACCGGACCAGCTTGCGCTATCTTCCTTGATGACCAATTTTGCAAACCTCGACGAGTTCCGCAGACTCAGTATCCCAACAAGTTGATCGGGGGCATTATCCTTGTTATACGTCACTTGTGTCGTAGTGGTGTCGGAAGGAAACGATAGTAGCTGCAGCACATTTTCAACCATTTGGCGCAGTCTGTTGGGTATACCTTCTTCCGAAACCGCACACGCACCAGCGCTTCGACTTGTACACGCAATCAGAGATGTGTTTAGTAGTGCGGCCAACCAATAAGCCTCCCTAAGCGCTTCCTTACCAAATTCGGCTTTCCGTATTAAAGCATCCAGGCATCTGAATAGCATGTCAGCTCTAAGAATCCCTTCACAAAAGTCGGTCTTCAACACGTACTCGAACAAATGAGGGAGCCAAACGACAGCAGATCGCTCACCAAATAGTATCGTCGACCATGACAGTCCTCCAGCAAAGATAGATGGAGACACTGCCAGAAGCTTCAGCGTATTCTCTTGGTAAATAATTGATTTAGCATGTCGGGCATGGCTTTTGAATTGTCCGTCGTCATCGCCGTCTTCATCTTGTTGACTAAGAGCAGAACACGAAAATTCTAATCCCCGAAGTGGGGAGCTTAATGTTGTCACTGCGGTTTCAGGCAGTAGCACACGGCCATTCTTTGTGGCAACCTTCGTCAGGTGGTCAAATGCATCGGACAAACGACATTTAACGATCGCTTTTGCCAACAAGACTGTGAGTGTTTCGAGATCAGGAAACGCTGCCGCCGAAAAATACGAATGCAATGCCATTTCAACTCGTACAGCTGATTGCAACGCAGATCTTCGTGTGGAATTTAACACAGACTGACGCGCCATGTTGTTCGGTCTCCCGGCTTCTTTCACAAAAGCTTCCAAAGCGAACACTAAGTGAGAGTCGAGCGGAGTCATGAGCAGAAATTGCATGTTTTCGAACTCGTTTGGAAACCATCGGATAAGCCTAGTACACAACAATGATAGCTCCAGCCGCGATTCTTTGCCAGCAAAGGCTGTGCCATTCATCTCGACAAAAGAAAACCATTGCTCTAATTGTTGTCTCAACTCCCCTCGCATCCCAACGGAATCTTTGATTTGACTCATCAGCTGACGAGTCTGCGTTACACCAGCTGACCTTACTGCGCGAAGGAGACGTTTAAGCACATCGCTGGAATGTGATACAAGCGCTTGGTCAATGACTACAGGCACACTCGACGTCATAGATTTGCCTTGTTCAGCACTTGCCTTGACAGCAGATAGAACTTTGAAAAGACTTGTCTCCAATGTCTTTGGACAGCTTGGTGTATTTTGTAGCACCTCCGCTACAAACATAAGCGCTTCACTCGTTTCTTGCTGTATCACTTCATCCATGCTATAACATTCAAGAAGTTCCGGCAAAACGTCCAACTCAGTCATCGCGCATAAGCCCCATCTGTTTGATATCGTGGGTGCTTCCTTTGTATGTGAGCTTTGGTATGTATCCCATGCCTCACAAAATCGTATCAAGGAAACAAGATACAGTGGCGTTGGATTGCTTTCATTCAATATGGCGTTGACAGAATGTACAATAGCAGTAAATTGCTGCTGCACTGTCTTTCGCTTTGTCAGGTTAGCTCTGTTGCGTGATTTCATGCATAAAACCAACGCTGGGAAAAACAGGGTCTTTACACCTCGCGGATTAAATTCGCGCGTGGAATGCAAGCTTGCATTCCCTCGAAGCAATTGAGCAATGAATCCGGTTATCCAGTCTTCTCCAAAAGTGGTCATCATCTGCACGAGTACTTGGCGAACTGTTAAGCGATCACTTTCCTTACGTATAAGCCGCCGGATTTTACCACCGCTTGATATTACTTCACCGCCAGTCACAACGATTCCATACATGATAGCATGACAATACCTTTGAAATGCTCGCAAGAAATTGTCATCGTAACGCATAGTCATTAATGTCTCGGTATCGACACCAATAACACACTTTTCGAGAAATCGACACCAGGCGATCCCATTCTGGGCAGACTCCTCTGCTAAGTAATCATTGTTAATCTGAGTCATCAGAGCATCCCAATACCTAAAGCAGCTGTCGTCCTGCTGTTGGTCGGTCACAGGCGAGAAAAATATGTACAGATAAAAGAGAAGTTTTAGCGGAGATACTCTTCTCAATGCAGGAGCCTTGTCCACTGATGGGGAAGCCATTACGTGTCGTGCGCCAAGAGACTTCATAATCATGTCGCTTAAATAGGACTGTAAAATGCGTTTGGTTGACGATATACCCATTCTGGTGGGGACGATAACGTGAGATAGTGCGCCACTTCCCGCGCGACCCCTAACGTGTGCAAAAGCTAATATGATGTCCGATACGTCAGCGAACAATGAGTGAATTACCTTCATCACAGCATAAAATCCCGGTAAATGATGTTCGTGTTCCTTTGCTTTAGGTAGCAGCACCATACTAGCGAACGCATCTACTGTCGAGCAGTGACGAATAGCATCAGCCAGAGTGACATGATTCACTTGTGTCATATACGTAAGTTCACGATCCCAAATGCTTCTCCACATCATCCGAAAAGCTTCCGTCGTACCCACTGATGACTCTACAGCCATTTTACAAGTCTTTTCATATGCCGCGACAGACATCGATAGCTCGGCATCTTTTATTTCGATTGTAACTGGTATCTCACACCTCTTTCTTTTTCGACCTGACTTCACGCTTGCTGTCAATCCAGCAACTGACAATGACTCCCAAAATGCCGATAATGCAACCATCGCCTGATTTGTCGCATAACTTTCTCCAGCTCTCTCCAAAAGATGAGCTGTCTGCCGCGTGCAGTCAACGAGAAATTCCCATCCAAAGTTCGACCGTAAAGACTCTGCACTGATAGCTCCGTCTCGACAAAACCCACAACACTTTTCCTGGTCTTCTTGTCCTCTCACTTCCTTTACTTCACGTCCTCTCGTCCTCTTTGCTCGTAGTTCAATCGAGCTTCTGGTTGTGGTCTCTAGAGCTTCTTCCAGTAGCTTTTCACACACTTGCTGGATCCAGCTCTGCACTGCACTCTTCACACACTTTTCCTGTTGATTTTGTAATGTCATACCCAACAGCAGCATTCTCACCCTCAAGGGTAATAGCCTCTGACCAATAACATGTCGCAGAACCTCGAGAGACTCGAGATTCACTAACGTCATCATTAATTCCGTATTGTTGAGAGTCAATAGCTCGCATTGAGCCAATTTTTGACATAAAGAAGCCAGACAAAGTGCTTTGTACTCGACTATATCACTGTTTTGTTTCAAAATGCTTCGTTTTCTTCGTTTGCGCGGCGTTTGTGGTATTTTCTCCATTTCTATTGCCACGGTCCGATATTGATGCAATACATAACGCTTGAGCACCGGAAAACGATGTAAATACCGCCAATCAGGAGGTGGAGATTGATGGAGCATACATTCACAGAGTGGATGGAGTGGAGAGCCAGAAAGTAGCGTCAGGTGCAAAGAGCGCACGGACACCCCGATTAAGAGCTGCCAAAGCGACATCCATCTATCAAAGACTGATATGTTGCGCAATAAAACGATATGTTGCGCAATTAAACGATATGTTGCGAATTTACAATGCATATGTTGCGAATTTACAATGCATATGTTGCAATTACATTGCTGTGCGGGAGCAACTTCGCCCAGCAACAAAAAGTCTAAAAATGGCAAAAAAAATGACAAATCTAGTGTCTTAAGTCCAAGTACGCAACGAATCAATTTCAAGCGGCACGGTGAGGTCGCATATGCCGCTACAACCCCAATAATGCAACGAGGTTGACAGCGTCTTGTTAAACTAAGAACAGCACTATATGAGGTCTTGCTCCCCTTTCCTTGCGTAGTTTCTCCTTGTCTTGACCTCGCAATGCCAAGTGATAGCTAACAGCACGATGACATCGCTCACTTAATACTGGTAACCACTGTTGCCATACGGATTGCTGCCCATGCTGCCTTGACTGCTACCGTACGGATTCTGCTGCATACCGCCCATGCCCATTCCCATGTTCATACCAGGGGCCATGCCAGAAGCCATACCAGGGGCCATACTCATACCGTATTGTGCCGATGGGTCGTTGTACGCCGTGGGCGCAATGGCCAGCATGGGTTGCATGCCGCCCATGCCGTAGGCCGGGTCGAGCGACTGCGTGTCCATCTCTGGTTCTTGCTGGGTCTGTGTGCGCTCGTCGAGAACCTTCACCTTGTCGTTCAGGCTCTTCACAAATTGGATCATGTAGGGCATGACAAAGTCAACATAGCCGTGACGCCAAGCAAGCTCCAGAGCTACATCAGGCTTAATCAGCTTGTAGCACGTGAACAGAGTAGCACAGAAACATTCCTTGTCGTGCACCGACACGAAAAAACGCAGGATATCCTCAGCAAGCTCCGGGTCATCTGAATCGCTGGCACAGTCAATGCAATCCTTGTACATCTTGTCAGCCTTTGACAGCTTTACAGACTGCGTGTAACGCTTGTTCTTGCGATACAGGTAAGCCGCAATGCGACGGAGCTCGAGAAGATCGTGCTTCTCCAGCTTTTGCGCCAGCGAGATCTGATCAAAGTTCTCATAAGCGTCTACGGAGTCACGGAGCGCCTGGTAGTCCTCGTCATCAACCAGGATTTCGTTCAGTGCCTCGTTAACAGCAGACAAATTCTCTTTCTGCACATCCTTCAAGTACTCCACCACAAGCGGTAGGTTCTTCGACTTGCGAAGCTGGTGAACAACACGAGCATGGTCCAGGTTGGGTGTCAGCACTTGCAGTAGACGCGTTAGCTCAAGCGGGTGCTGTTCCAGGTAAAAGTTGATCGCCTTGTAATGGATCTCTTGGTTGCGGACCTTTTGGATACAGTCCAAGAACAAATCATGAGAGAACGCAACCGGGTGGTCAACCATAGTGCGAACAGCGTTGTCAAATTGGCCGTCTTCCTTGTACAGATACACAGCGTGGTCCCAGTGCAGGCCCTTCTCACAGGCACGGAGAATCTTCGACAAGTTCATACGCGAGTGAAAGATCTTAATGTGCTCCATAAGCTTCGACGGCAAGTATTTTGAATACAAGATAGCCAGCTCTGTAAAAATGCCAGCATGTGCGCCTTCCAGACCAAGACCCTGCTCCATCAACTTTAGCAGCTCCGTAGAGTGACCACGCTTCTCGTAGTGCAGAATCAGCTCCTCGAGGTGGTCCGGATGCACGATAATGTGCAGACCACAAAGGCCCGCGAGGCGGAATTCGTTTACATCCACACAGGCGTAGTTAACCTCTTTCCACGTTCCCACAGAGTTCGCCTTGGTAGCGGCATCCACGGCCTCGCGAAACTTTCCGAGACGCACATAACAAATGGCGAGCTTGGCGTTGTTGTTGATGTTCTGAAATAGTAGCTTGGCAGCATCGTACATACCTTCATCGTAACAACGTTCTCCAATGTTCTGGATCTGCGCCACATTAGGCGAGGAAATGAACTCTTCTAGATCGGAGTACTTCTCCGTCTTAGCGTACGCATAAATCAGCGACGTGTCAAGATACTGCTCCTTCACTGTGTTACGCGCCATCTTCAAGTAGGGAATCAGCTCGTTGTAGTTGTTGATACGCTCAGAAGCGGCAATCACATCGACGTACGAGCTGGCATCGCTGGCCTTAATAAAAGCCGACAGAGAGTCATGTACCTTGCCCTGGTCGAGCTGAGCCTTCGCCAAACGAGACCACACCTCAGATTCGTTACAGCGGTCAGCAAACTCATAGGCGCGCTCGTTGTCCTTTATGTAATCCAACAGCACACCAATAGCCTCCACGTTGTGATTCGTCTTTTTGTATATGACAAAACCCTCCTCGTAGAGCTGGTACTGCTCACCAACGGCGATGCGCGCGATCTCCGGGCCGTCAAAGTTGTCCAGACGATTCACGTAGTCCATGACCTTCTCCTTGCCAGCCTTGATGGCTGTTAGAATCAGCAAGTTCTGCAAATTCTTGTTGGCCGAGAAGTCGGTGCCTTGAAGGACGATGCGCTCGAGTAGTTCAATCAGCTCGTTCGGTAGTTCAGCGTTCATGAACGCGCGCACAGTAGTTGACACTTCGTCCGGGTTCGTAGTTTCCGGGAGTGCCGTCTGTACAACCTGGTCAATTAAAGCACGACGGCTAGGAGACTCCGGTTCGCCTTCTTCTTGTTTCACAAGTACCTTGCCCCACAGATCTAAGTCCTGACGCTCCACCAAGTAGCGGGCTAGATCCTTAAACAGACCATTTTCCGTCGTCACGCGAACAAGGTCGTCATCGCATGCACCGCCAGCACGACGATAAGCCAAGTAAGCCAGAGACGGGTCTAGCTTCTCGCAAAATTTACCAACAACTTCCGAATCGTAGAACTGGTTGCTGATCAAGAACTGCTGGGGTTCCTTATTGAGTGTAACATAAATCTTACCGATAGCATTGTGAGTCGCAGTTTCAGTGTTGCCCTGAGCAACACGCGTCTCAAGCCATGGCTGCAGCAGACGCAGGCGGTTGCGCTTTTCAACTTGCTCACATAGATCGTCCACAGGGCACTGCGCAACCTGGTTGAGCAGGTTCTTAATGTAGTCTTCATTGCAGTCTAGGTCAAGCAGCTTGCCAATGACAATAGGTGCCTTCTGTGGGCTCACCTTTGTCACATACACGTCAATGTACTTCATCAGGTTGTTAGAGTACAAGTATTGCGTCAACTCCTCCACAAAGTCGTAACGATCGCACACGTGAATGAGCGGACGCGGGTCCTGTAACTTCGATTCCTTCAGGAACTCTTTCACCTTGACAGGGTCGTACACAGAAGAGTCACGGCAAACGCGCTCCACCTCCTTGAACTGGCCCATTTTCGTAGCAGCTTCAATGTACTTAAAGTGCAAGTCAGGGTCTTGCGAAAAATTCACAATGGAACCCAGGAAGAAGTACAAACCATCAAACGATTTGAACTTCTCAAACACGTCCACGAGTTCCTTGCCGCCCAGCTGCTCAGCATACTTAGTGGCAACCTGCACAACAATTTGCAAGTTTTGGCGCATGTTGTGCGCCATAAGGGCGTCAATCAGCTCCATCGAGACTTCACTCGTTAGGGTTCCAAAGAATGTCACGATGAACTCGTGATTGATAGCCTGCGTATTAACGATTACACGCTTCAGGTCTGACAGTTCCGTGTAGTGCTCCAGAGCACGTTGGAATAAGCCAGACTTCTCGCAAAGAGCAGCAATGCGCGGCCTGTCATAGTGAGTGAACATGTTGTTCGACAGAATAGCATCCGCCACCTGCGGCGAGCCGCCCAGCAAATTGATCTCCAGTAGACGAGTCTGCAAGTAACCCTCCTCAGGACGGTTGTTTTTCAAGGCCTCCAGCAAGAAAGCAGTAGTTTCCTGAATGCGGTTTACCTGCATAAAAATGTCGACCACAGCATTGACGTCTACCAAGGGACCGTTCTCCGCGACCGCAAGTTTCTGGGCAAAATCTAGTGCGCCTTGTGGGTTCGCACGCACCAGATTCTGAAGCATGAACGTGTAGTCACAACGGTAGTTGGTCTGAACAGCATATGCGACAATCTTGTCGAACTCGCCGCGCTGGACAAAGCAGTTAATCACCTTCTCAGGAACTTCAGCGCGCAAGTACACGGACAGAGCCATCGTGGTGTCAGACTGTGCGACGAGGTCACCCAGCTCCTCCGAGCAGTTAAGCTTATCCTCCGATAGCCACTTCTGCAGCAGCTGGCCGCGACCCTGCATCAACACGGGGCGAGCCAGCTCAATAGACTCCATCTTATTCAACGTTCCCTTTTCAAGCAGGACACTGAAGTACTGCAGGATAGGCTGCGGCTGACCGGGCTGAGCAGGCATCTGCTGGAAACGTTGGATCGTCTGAGGCGTGCGAAGAGCGCCCTGGGGAGATGCGGCAGCTAGGCGGGCTGCACCCTGAATGTCGTTCACACTAATGAGACGGTCAAACTCCGTAAAGTAAAGCTCTTCAGCACCCGGAAGATCCAGACGCGTTGCCAAGGCCAAGGCCAGCTGCGAGTCGCGCAGCGTGTTTACCACGTACGGCACCAGCTTCGTCTTATTAATCGCGAAATGCAACAGTTGTCCGCGGCGCGTAATACCAAGCATTCCCTTTGAAGTTGACTCCAAACACGTCACAAATGTCGTGTCTTGAGATACACGAGCACGGTACACGGGCTTGCCGGAATGCGCATCAAACAGGAAGAGGTATCCCATCTTGGTAATCATGTACACGACGTCGTCACTTGGACTCACAAGCATCGATACAGGGAAATCAGCCTGTGCGTCCGCAGCAAAAGGAATTGGCTGCGGAGTGAGACGAAACACGCCACCGGGGGCATCGCGCTGACGTCCTACTTCCATGATAAAGAGCTGCATAGGCTGTCCATCCCCCTTGGTTCCGGCAAAGACCAGTACCTGGGCGTCATCTGTTCTTCCAGAAGGCTTCATTTGGGCAAAAGCTCCAGCGTGGCCTTGTAGTACCTGGCTCACCTTCTTATCCATCGAGTAAAGCTGCATATTGCCAGCAATACGACCTCCTTCTCCCTGTGAGATGCCGACCAATAACATCCACTGATTGTCAGCCGAAGCTTCGTAGCTAATAATCTGAGTGCCAGCACCCAAGTTGGCATGTCGGTCAAAGATCTTGACCGGGGATGAGTCTCCTTCAATGCTCCAATGGTACACAGCAGATGCTGTGACCAGTGCAATGGTATTGACCGAGATCCAGCGCCAAAAGACCACAGTTTCGTTCATCAAGTGGCTCTTCATCTTGGCGCGTAATTCCATGTTGAAAATTTGCAGCTGATTCTCTGAGCGTAGAGCAATGACTTTACTCACAGGGTTCATGATGGCCGCTTCGGCATTAATCGGACGACGCTGCACCGTATTGCCCGCCGCCATGTCTACGATCACCACACTGGCCTGTCCATTCACTTGTTCGCATACACAGACAAACTTGTCCGACTCCATCGTCGTCGAGCCAAACTTGACATAGTCCAAGTTTACCCCGAGGGTGCTCAACTGTAAAAATAATTAAATAGATACAATTATCAATAGAGTAGTTAATACAAGCTTTTTCCTCTAGATTATAATATTTCCCCTCTTTATTATAATAATTGTATTCCAAATTAGTCCGCATTAGAATACAATCACGTACGTTCAATACTTCCCCAAAGGTAATGGGAAAATCTTGTGCCATATTTTTTGATTTTTTATACTCGTCTATCTATCGTGTCGAATTGGAGAGAGAGAGAGAGAGAGAGAGAGAGAGAGAGGGGGGGGGGGAAGGCTCGTACTCACTTTCTTTTACTCAACTGAGATCCTTTTTTGCTTCTTTCCTCTGTTTCACGACTGTGTGAATCACCCAACCGCAAAAAATCTAATGCGTTTCGAAAGGGTTTGAACTTTTAAGCGCGCTTTACCTGATCAGCAATACAGTAATTTGCAAATGTTGTGTGTACGTCCACTAATCTAGGACCAAGACTCGATGTAGTCAAAGGATGTAACGGCTACATTGTGTGAGTCACGAATTTGACTAAGCCTGCGTATATCATTTGTGTCTATCCATATATCCCTGGGTAATTAGTTATGTTGGATGATATGCCACGTCGGAGATATAAACATGCAATGCACCTAGATACACCACAGATAAGCACAGTTTAGTGAAGAATAGCGACTACGGCGATCTTAATTGTGCTAGATACGTAATAATCTTGCTAAATGAACGACGGGTAGATTCACGTTTCTGTTTACATGTATGTGTACGGTCGAGCTGCACACTGCAGTCTACGTGGAGAATTGAGTAGATGTAGTTAGCGTCAGTCCCGCCGCAGCCATATCGCGTAGAAACTCCTGTACAAAAGTAGGAAAACACAGTTGAAAGCATCAGTTGTAACGGCATCGAACCACTGTCAAAGAGTCGTACGAAAACGCCCATTTCAATACCTCGCCAGTCTTTTCATAGCCTGGAACGGGGGACGAACAATCAGTCAGGATCACCAAGTCCGAACGTCGATCCTTCGGCCACGCCGCCACCAAATCGCGTACCGTATAATTCACACAGTGCGAGATGGCTTCGCCACAGACGACGACTTTGTCAGCAAGTTTAAGTGACTCGACTAGCGACTGGTTCAAGCTATAAAGCAGAAAAAAAGACAGCAACAATGAGAATGAGTACAGTCTTACCATGTAGTTGCGATACCGTATCCAATCAAGGCAAAAGCTGCAATACCTTGTCGTCGGATCGTACGGCAGCTCGAACTCGGCCTTGAGCGCCGAATAGTGCTCCGTGAACGAGTTTGCACCTTTCATAACGTACTGTACGGGTTTCAACGACAACTTGGTCCATTCCATGGCCGCAGCATGTACATTCGGCACAATATTGTGCCCAGGTGAGCCAATAAGGCAATGTTCTGGCCAGATGCACAGCGTAAACTTACCACTGGCCTCAAGTGCCGACGTGTACGCCAGCACGTATTCCTTCAGATTGGGGTCACGTGGCTTCCACACTCCAGCAGCCACGTCCTTGGCTGTGATAAGTGTGAACGGCTTGAGTGACTTGCCTTCTGCATTCTCCCAGAAGATCCCGTGTGCAATGTGGTAGCGCTGGTGCGAGTCCAGCGTGAGTACGAGCTGCTTTAGCTCTCTGGAATGTTTCTGGATAAACGTTGCAATGCGCGCCGCGTCTTCGTTCGCCGTTGGGATGGCAAGTGAGCCGCCAGGGTGGAAGTCAACCTGCTGGTCGATCACTAGCAGGCATAACCCACCGGCGGGGATTGCACCTGCCATCGCCGCTGCTTGTGCTTGATCTGTCATAGCGCAAAGTGTAGCCATCGTGAACGCAATTTTTGTACAATAGGGTGGGTCTTCGAATGACAAAAAGTGCTTCTATAATTTCGCAGTGCCAAAAGCGGCAGACGACTGCAAGTGGAGCAAGACGTTGTGCACGACGTACCGCAGCATGAACATTTCCATGGCCCGAAGTACGACTCTTTTTACGGTGAATCCGCGTCGAAGTATCATCAGAAATACTGTCACATAGCAGAGTGTTTCAATCTTGCGCTTTACGGTCCATGATGTCGGGGGAATACTAGTTGCAAACTCGTGCACCTTGGGCAAAAGGTTGGGCGGCAGCAAAGGCCACTTCAACGTGCCATGTTGTAAGCTTTGCGTGAATCGTGCCACCTCTGGAACGTACGCTCGCCATGAACGCTTGTGCGGTGCTAAGGTGTAATTGACGACTGGCAGGGGAACACGCGACATAATGCCCGGCTGGATACGACGAATCCGCTCAAAATCTGTCATGGAAGCGCTGCCGACGGTGAAGATATCTAGTGAAAGAACAGGCAGCAGGTCACATGACCAATGAGCAAATTTAGCCGAAACCGGCACAAAGTAAGATCGTCCCGAGATTGTCGAAAACAAACCTAATTCGGTCTCTTGCTTCGCCTTCACCAAAGCTTCTCGGAATGCCGTGCAGCAACCTGCAAGCAGCACACTATTGACGCCCATTGGCCCATTAAGCACAATTATTCAGTATCCCACGATAAGAGCAGATCAAAGATGACACTGATGTAATGTTGCAGGTACGTACACAATGGAGTCGCTACAGATCCAGGCGTTACTTTTCACGTCAAGTGGCAATCTTGGCAGAGGCGATGACCCAGTCAGGCGTTTCAACGTTAATCGCAGCATCAGTTGGTATGCTCTGAGCATATAACGTTAGTTCATGTGAAGCGTTTCATCAAAATTCGCAAGTCTCGACTCACCTTGCAACATCATATTCACATCCAATCAATTGTCGCGCACAACGCAGGAACAGCTGCAACTCTGTCTCGGACATCGGTACGCGCAAGACCTGCAATATCACCCCACCCACTAGATGAAATCATTGCACGACAATTTACCCTAAATCTGCCAAATCCTTCTCTTTCAATGTACCACAGGTTGACGTTGAGGCAAAAGAAGTCGTTCCAATGGCATCACCCTGACAACCGGCAGTCCAATATGAAGCACCGTGCAGTCATCCAACACGACCACCTATCCTCCACACAAACCCAAAACAAATCAACATTGATTCCTACAACCACTTGTCCCCATATCTTTCTCGTGTCTTCTCACCACATGATCGTATGCGTTCTCGGTCAAATATCTCCCTACAGAATAAACGAGTCCGCTCGTAGTAATAAAGATCAAGTCGCCTGGACCACACTAGTCAGTAGCCCTGCTCTTTACTACACCCTACACATTACCTAAACATGATGCTCCAACCTGGTTTCACAAGCTTTACCGCCTCTTGTGCCGCGTCTCGTGCCTCTTTGGGCGATCTACAAAAAAAAACATGACATCAATGCTACAGTCAAATCACGTCGTTTACAGTCACCACTCTATCAATTTTCATACCGTTGAAATTCCTGCTCATTAAATTGCAAACTATTTGGCGTCAGCATTTCAACTGTTGACGCAATCACCGTCTCCAGTGACAAATTCGCAAAGGCATCGGACTTTGGCATTTGAAACTCTCCACTACCTCGTTTCGCTGGTCTATTGCTACTCCCCTACCCGCTTTTCAGCAAGACCCAAATGCAGAGTGATGGTCAGTCGAGAAAAAGGCCACAAGAGCCCATTTCAACAGTCCAAATGTGCTCATTTTGGGGGCCAAAGAAAGCTCCAAAGCTGATAAAGCCGATGAATGTGGTCGGACTTTCTAGTGACGAGACAAGAGCGCTTGATGTACGACGGCGTCTCGTTGATTCCTCGTCGGAGAGTTATAACTTTATGTTTTACTTTGTCATTGGCGCCATGATGCTCACGTGTTTCGTGTACAATATCTTCTTTAAACGGAAAATGGAAGCCAATCTCTTCCAACAGCAAGCAATACCCGAGACAATGCTACGACAAGATGTAATTGCTAGTGATCAAGACATGAATAATTTGTGGGAGTGTGAAGTTTGCTCTTTTAAGAGCTATGACGCTCAGTTGACATGCATGTTGTGTGGGACTGATCGTTCCTTTAAGCTAATGGACAAGACTGGTCGATCGGGAGACGATACTACGAGTGAATATAGTATCAATGCGCTCTTTTCGACCTCGTCCAGTACAAAATATATGTTGTATATGGAAGAAAAGGAGAAGGAGAATCCACTGACTCGTAGTACATTGAACAGTAAACCAATGGCTTCTCGATCGATCAAGTCACAGGCGTCAACGAAGATTAACAGGGAATCTTTCAAACAAAAACTCAGTGTGCTTAATCTTCGACAACAGTCGGCTCGACGTCGGCATGAATGGTCAAGAAAACGTAATGACGATGGAGAACTGATTTGGGTGAGAAAAAAACGTTTTATGGACCGGAAGGTACTGCGAAGTCTACGGACGTTGGATGGACTGCATAGTCAGTCATCGACGTCCTTACGTGACTCGATTCTTTCAAGCGGGAGTACCAACTCGGTGGGGATTGTGTCGCGTGTTGTTGTATCGCCCAAGAACCCAACGGGACGGTTATCGCTTGAGTCTGCTGATGGAGCGCTGGCAAAGCGCTGCTCCGACAGCTCCAAGTTTACGCAGGATGAACTAGAACAGGTTGGCTCGCTATCTTTTCAGCAGAAACATGCGTGGTTTGTACAGCACACAGCGGCTATGGAGGTGCCATGGGAATATGGACACGTGCTGCTCGAGATCGAGCGTGACAACTTACTCCACAACTCGTGCGAGCAATTACTGTGGGCGACGCCGGATCAGTTTCATCAGTCGCTTCGAATTAAGTTTGCGAATGAACCGGGCGTGGATGCTGGAGGATTGGTGCGCGAGTGGTTTACGCTGATGACAAAAGAAGTCTTTGATGACTCAACTGGCTTATTTTATAGAAGTGGAAATGGCGATGGCCTTATGATCAACCCATCGTCCGCCGAAGCTAGCGTCGATCACCTGATGGTATGCTTCTATCTTGTATTTTTCGTAGCTAGATTGCGTTGCTCATCTTTTTTGTTTGTTGTGTGCGCAGTATTACCAAGCCATCGGTCGCTTCATTGGCAGGGCGCTTTTTGAAGGCATTCTGATCGATGCGCATCTGGCGCTCCCAGTGTGCAAGCATATTCTAGCTATCCCCATAACCTTTTCGGATCTTGAGTTCGTGGACAATGATTTGTACAAGAACTTAAAGTGGCTGCGAGAGAACAAAGATGTGGAATCGCTGGCTTTGGACTTCACGTACGTGCTCTTTCGTGTGATGCTCTCTCCACTCATGTTTTTTTGTTTACGAGTACTTGTTTTGTCGTTACTACTTTAGTGTCAACGTCGATCAAATGTCAAACACGAAGAAGGTGGTGGATTTGGTACCAAATGGCTCAAATATCTCTGTGACGGAAGAGAACAAGATGGAGTATATTAACTTGCGCTTCAAGTGGATCGTTGCAACAAGCATATCGCTGCAGCTTGGTTCATTGATGCAAGGTCTTTTCTCTATCATCCCCAAGGAGCTGATCTCTGTCTTCGATCATCAAGAGCTGGAGCTTCTGATGTGTGGAATCCCCGACATTGACGTACAAGACTGGAAATCTCACACTATTTATGTTGGGGAGCGTGACCACCGAGCCATTGCCTGGTTTTGGAATATTGTGCGTGCGTTCACGAATGAGCAGAGGGCGCGCTTGCTACAGTTTACAACAGGTTCAGCTCGGGTCCCCGTGCAAGGCTTTAAAGCGCTGACCATGAACGACGGGCGCATTTGCCCGTTTACGATTCAATGCGTCAGCGCCGATGAATGTTTGTATCCGCGGGCTCACACTTGCTTCAACCGGTACGTGGTTAGTTTCTTCTTGTTACAAATCGAGGAAGTGGTTATTTATGGTGGTTTCGTCTTTGCAGCATCGATTTACCACGATACAGCAACGAGAAGGACTTGCAAATCGCGTTATCTCTTGTGATCCAAATGGAAGTAACTGGTTTTACAATTGAGTAAGCTATACAAGACGCGAGTATTTACTGAGCAGAAGGCACAGCGCATCATCGGAAAATAAGCAAACCATAACAGCGACTAGCTTGGCAAAACTAGTACTCACATTTGACCCTGCTTAAGGGTTGACATAACAATTCCAGTAGTTTCAAGACGTCGGCCAGTCTGTTCTTCGATGAGCTACACAGTAAAGCTCTTTGTAGAACAGTGTGCAGCCTAATAGAGCGTCGACATGGATAAAGAATTAATAGTAAATGGCGGACTGTCGCCACATTCAATATTGAGTCCGACTTGGTCGGTCAAACCTAGTCTGCTCCTAAAAGGGGTCCGTTTTCACACTTTGGAAACGGACTTGCAAGGATAGAAGTCGCAGAACGAATGCTGGGCAGCCCGCAGCCAACGGCTACATTCCCTTTTTCGAGCAGGGAGTGCTATAAGAATCGGAATGGGATCATAAAGGCTATACAAGGTGTGGTTGGAACGACGTGATGATCGGTACGGGCGTGTTGTTGTCCTTAGCTCTGGATATCGAAAAGCTTTGCAAAATATTTGCATGGACCAAACGGAAAAGGTGAGCTCCACTCGGCGAAAGCGCGTGTAGCGTCATCTGATACATAGCCATTTGTTGGTCATGGAATAAGATTACGCTGCATTTTCACAATCCACAGCAGTATCTGCGACGTGCAGAATCTGCGACATACAGGAGAAGGCCGGTTACAAGAAGCTGCTGTTTTTGAAGAATAGAATGAGCCTGAACTGAAGGATGCTGAGCTAGATGAGGCTTTGCTCCACGACAAATTAGGTCTTGCAATTGTTGACTGTGTAGAGGCCGGCTTGATGGCACGTAAGCCGACGATCTGGAGCCATGATAGGCCACAGTCATCAAGTCGTAGCACGATTTGCCACCGTCAAGATGAGCAAGTATGCCTTCCACAGGACAAACTTGGCTTTATACTCCGACTGCAATTAGTCCGCAATTTGAGCCTGGTGCATAACAGCAACAACAATTTTACTCTAGTGGCAAGCAGCAGCACCATCGCTTGGTGGCTCCAAAGAGGCTCGGTTGGTACGATAACAGCGGACCATGCCATGAACCTAGTCGAACTGTCAGCTTCTTTTCGTTTCTCACACGACACGGCTGAGGTTCAATAGCTTGGCTGCACTTTGCCTCACACCATTCACTAGCCATGTCAGGAAGTGTAAAGAGATAGCATTTTCTTGATTCCAGTTTAGACGGTTGAGATGCTGCTTCATCGCTCCTCGACCGACACCACACAAAAGTGGAGCGATACAGCAAACTCTATATTGTCCGGACCAGCACGCAGACGAAACAAACTTGGCACCACATGACACCATATATTCCATCCGTAAAGCGAACATTGCAAACAAAACAACAGAATATCAGCTCTTTGAGACATTGCGGCTAATCGGTTGCTGCCGCTCCTTGCTACCATGGACATCCAACTATCCTCGCGGAAGGAGCACGAATGAGCACAATGTAGTGACCCTTTCATCTAAGTAGTCGAGCTTGATTACCATTTCCTGTTCAAACCTCGCGAGTTGAGTATTCAGCTGTTGCATTGTATCCACAACAGTTTGTAATGATGTCGTAGAGGCACCCAGTCCATCTTGCGGTTGTCGTGTATTCCCATGTTCCACAACGTGCATGCACGCATTTTCATCCACCGACGTTGCTATTGTCGTATCAGGTTGTTGCATCTGTATAACACCCATTGCCGGTACAAATTGCTCCGGCAGCTGCTGCATCTCGTCCTGAGACAACACTTTAAGGCCATAGACTTTTTTAAAGTGCTTCAACCACTTGATCATTGCCGTAAATGGTATTTTAGAATTTCCCTCAATTGCGTATTGCATAAAGAGATCCGACACTTTAGTAGTTAATGCATCGGCTGATACTGGTCGACCCAATGTCCTTTGGCGGATAATCCATCGATAAAGTTCCTGCTCGACACCCGGATGATGTTCAGGCACAGATTTAAGTGTCTTACGCTTCAATTTTGTCATGCCTTCAGCATCAATACAAAAAGCCAGTATACGGTCTTTGTTCTTCTTGATATCTGATACTTGCTGACGACTGATACCAAACTCATGCGCAATGGCGATCGGCTGTTCACCGGCTTCGAGACGCTCAAGAACCTGTTGTTTGTCATGAATCGAAAGTACCACTCGCTTACGCTTCGTAGAGGTGGCATGAGGATGTGCGTTAGTAGATAGTGGTGTACATAGGCGATGATCTATCGTGACGCCGAGGTCAATGCCATCGTCACTGCTGCTCATGAAATATAGCTTCACTTTGAGAGCTACACGTATACTACGTCGTTTCTAATGTCGTATACAAATATAAGAAACGCCCTCTCTTTTTTGTAAAATGGGTTTAGAAATAAGATTATCAAAACCATTCGGATCTTTTAGAAACCCGTTCATCAATGAGCTCGTCGACGTCCTCCAGCGCGTCTTCGCTCTTTACTAGCAACAGCCGTATATATATATAACCCTTCTTTCATCTACTATCGTACATCTCTATAGCATTATCTAACGTCGCTGTCTGCAGTCTCACAGGACTTGTTGCTACTTGCAAAGAAACGAAAGGCCGAGGAAGAGGCGGTTCAGGACTTGAATACGGGTACAGCGTGTTGAAATTGTGTGCAATACATAAAAGACATACATACAATAAAGAGATGGATGAACGACTTTTGCTGCTAATGTTGGTAGTGCTGCTACAGGAGACACTTATGCGATTACGGGCCAAGACGCAGCAGCTCCAAAACGATAAATGGATGTACCAGGACGTCCAGATATAAAGCACTGCAATCGCCACGTCATTTTTTTCTCAATGTGAACTCGTCGTTTACCGTACTTTGAGTTTGTCATGCTCATTGTTTCTAGGCATTAACGTGACTACATCAGAAAAGGAGCGAGCAACTGACTATTCGTCAACGCAGAGCAATTCTTCCTCATCTCCAGCTACCAAGTGACTGGGTGCGTCGCTTGATCTTTCGCGACCTCTTTCCATTTTCTGCACCCACACTTTATTCGCGCTTCTTTATCTCCTCAAGCAGCGTCATACCAAGACGAGCAGGCGATCGCGTAACTGCAACGCCAGCAGCTTCAAGCGCAGCAAACTTTCCAGCAGCCGTGCCCTTGCCACCCGACACAATAGCACCAGCGTGGCCCATGCGACGTCCAGGAGGAGCCGTCGTGCCAGCAATAAAGCTCACTACAGGCTTGTTAGGATCCCCGTGGGCCATAAGCCATTCAGCAGCCTCCTCTTCGGCCGATCCGCCAATCTCACCCACCATGATGATACCCTCAGTCTCCGGGTCGTTGGTAAAGCGTTCAAGGCAGTCAATAAAGTTGGTTCCATTGAACGGGTCCCCGCCAATGCCAATAACCGTGGACTGGCCCAAACCCAACGCCGTAGTCTGTGCCACCGCCTCGTATGTGAGGGTACCCGATCGAGACACAATACCGATCTTGCCCTTCTGGTGGATGTAGCCGGGCATGATGCCCATTTTACACTCACCTGGCTTGATGATACCGGGGCAATTGGGGCCAATAAGGCGCGTCGTCTTCTGGTTACGCAAGTGCCACTTGACTTTGACCATATCCTGCTGTGGGATACCCTCCGTGATAGCCACGACAAGGGGAATCTCAGCCTCAATAGCCTCAATAATGGATGCAGCACAGAATGGTGGCGGCACATAAATGACTGAAGCATCGGCACCCGTCTCTTTCTTGGCCTCAGCCACGGTATTAAAAACAGGCAGACCCAAGTGTGTAGAGCCACCTTTCTTAGGGGTTACACCACCCACCATCTTGGTACCATACTCAATAGCTTGCTCTGAGTGAAACGTACCCTATTACAGTACAAGAGTCATACATAACAAGAATCAGAGTGTTTTATCCGACAAAAAATCGCTGGATGTTTTTCAAAAATCTCTTTATTACCTGCTTGCCAGTAAACCCCTGACAAATAACTCTTGTGTCCTTATTAATCCACACTTTTGCAGATGCAGACATGTTGCGTGTAGCTTGTCCAGCCACAGCCACGGTCTTCACGGATGAACGAGCAAACATCGTGCCAAAAATCCCAAGCTTTCGATATATCTGAATTTTTTTCCTAAGGGGGTCTTCTGCGCTCGTCCACCCGACGTTTTTATCGTATGTATTTCCACCAATCAGATAGACGAATACATCTCAAGCGAGTTTTCGCCAATAGATGACGAGAGATGCACGTAGCTACCACATGGACGTGTTGTGTGTGTACACATCACTTCAACGTCAAATTAATTGTATACTTTGTGTGTTCATTCATTGTGCTCCTGACAATTCAAGTCTGGATCAATTTGATCTTCAGCGCTAGTAGTGACTATTGCGAATAACACGCTCCGAGCTATTTTGAATCTTGACAACCTCGTTAGGAATCTCGTGGCGTAACCACAGTCGCAAGAGCCGCTCACGCCGCTCCTCATTCAAATATAACGGACGCCCTTTGCTGAGCTCTCGATTACGTTCGCCAAATTCTTCGCCGTACTCGTCCACGTAAAGGCTTCCCACATAAGCTGCCAATTTCCAGTATACCAGCAGCACGGCGCCCTCTAGCACAAGCAAAAACATACCGCTACCTCGTCCACATTTCTTGGCGTGAACGGTACATGCACCTGGGTTGGCCTCGTCCGGGTACCCACCCTTGTCCAGATGAATTGATGGACATGTGTTAGCAGCACAAAGCAGCATTCCACACAAAAGACAGACAGCAGGTCGCGCGGGGAACTGGTGACACGCATGACATTTGCGCTTTGCCAGCTCCGAGTAAAACTTCACGTACGGTCGAGGCAACGAGCGGAGATACCGGGTACGATTTGAACCCGAACTAAACACCGAAATGGTCGAGTGCATAGTATGCAGGTCCCGGCTCAGCACTGACGGTAACATCAGCTTCTGGGTGCGATCCACATTGGCAGTCGTGAGCCACTGCTGAAGAACATCGTGTGGGTCGTTCATTTCTTCGTATGCAGCCTTGAAACGATGTACCCACCCAAATACGAGCTGAGCGAGAACTGCCCGCTCTTTATTGTCTGTTGATTCGTGGAGCTGTAGAGCGTTCAACTTTACAAACCCGACGGTGAGGACGTCTTCTTGCGTAATAAATATTGGCTTCGAAGCCGCTGTCGAGCCATAACGATGGTGTGGCGTAGCTTGCGTTGTCAAGGACCGAATCATGAATGTAGCCACCTTGGCAAGAGGTACAACTTCACATGCAACGACATTCAGAAGCTGCCGCCTATTTGCAACAGGCTCCACGTCGAAAGCACCGTCACACCTATTCACAAGTGCTTCCAGAAGTAGCTCCAATTCATGCCCCACAGCGTCCTCTACATTTGTATAGTGACCTTCAATAGCAGTAGCAGTATTCGCAGAAAAGCAGGCAGTGAAAAGCGATACGTTTTCCTCCGAAAACGCGAGATCGTCGGCCATCGCATTAGTGAACTCCTCTGTCCGCGTGATGGCATACCACAGCAACGTTTGCACTAGGCGTGCAAGCACCACAAGCCGAGCGATATATACCGCATCTTCTTCACTTTTCGCGAAAAGTAGACCCTTCATCAGCACGCTACCCAAATGATTAAGCAACAGTGGTTTCTGAGGCCATCGTACCTTGCCCCACTGGCTCTGCTTTCGCGTTTGTGTCTGTGTGCTTGGATGCTCGCTCTCAAGCAACACGGTTCCATCAGAAAGAATATCCGACCCTCCATAATATAGTAAGTGAAGAATTTTCTCGTACAAATCAGTTGGTGTCGTGGAAGGATTCGTAAGAAAGCGTGTGCTGACATGTCTTAGCATCAGCGGTAAGAAACGCATGGCTCCCAGAAAGAGGTGCTCTCGCAACTGATCCGAGTCATGCGCATCAAGAAAAGAGCAAAGCAATGTGTGAAACAGTGCGTTGCAACCAGAGGTAGTGTATCGTTCCGGCTGGGACTTTTGCATGGCACCACACGCTACCTTGTGGACTGCCATGCAGAGTGACGACAGACCGTCATCTAACCACTTAATCATGTGCTGCATTTCCTCAGGATTCTCACTACTTGACAAAATAGAAGCTGAATCGAGCTTTTGTTCCGACAGTGCCGCATTCGCTTCTTTGTTAATATCTGTTGACCCATCAACACCAGCGTCTGTAGCAACATGCTCCTCCTTAGTCCTAACGGCATGCTCCAGCCAGCGAACCATTTCCAACTGTGTTACAGTAGCCATGGATATCTCTTCAGTCCCGCCGATCGATACCCTGCGCTTCATAGTTGGAAGAAATTTGCTTTCTTGGTCCGTTGTTGTCGGGATCAGCACGTTCGAGATTGATTTGCATAGTGGGCACAAAAACTCCTTCTTTGTGACGTCAACAGCATTCAACGCATGCCGATGATGCCCACCAGTTATTGCACGTTGGAACTGGGAGGTATGATATGATTCCCAGCACTTCTGGTGCACGGAATGGCCACACAGACGCACGTGCACAGGTATGTCTTCACCGACGTGCATCTCGTCCATAGGTGTACTTAGAAACTGATCATGCGAGCCACCATTTAGTCGAGAAAGAGCGGGTGAGCACTGGGCAAAACCAACGTAGCACATAAAGCTGTTTTCAGAGTTCATCGAGTGGCACATTGCACACTCCACCACGAGCGCATCGTCATCCATTATATCACCACTCCCACCCATTTCAACATCACTGTCATCACCTGCAGCATCAGATGCATTCGGTATGTGCTTTTCGCGTTCACCCTCAGTGCCTGATTCATCGTCTCCAGCAGAAGCATGCTCAGTGTCGTTTGCCATCGCTTTCATTTGCTCAGCAAAGGCAGCTTGTCGCATTCGCATCTGCTGCATTGCCCGCATTTGTGCTTCTTTTCGTCTTTGCGCCAAGGCCAACTTGCGTGCAGCTTCGTCACGCGACTCTTGCTCGTTCACTTGATGTTGCTCCACTACACTTCGGCATTCAGGACTAATGCGGGACAGCCGATGTAGTAGCCAGTCAATTCCACGGCCAATCTCGTGTTTTTGGTCACCGTCTAACTTTGTCATGCTTGCACTTCCGCCGTGGCTTGACCAAGGGTTCAGCTTCAACAGAAGATACAAAATCGCGCAGCGTGAATTTGCGCCCGAGTACAGTCTGGGCTGGTCTTGGGAAACCCACTCAATAAAGTTGTCTGTTATCCGAGAAGCTCGCTCGAGTTCGAAGTGTTCTGCGTCCGAGGCAGGATTCATCGTTTGAAAGTAACGGGTGTCTTCCACGACATACAGCTGAAGCGTGAACAAGTGCACAGCTCTTGAAAGAACACTGAGGCTGCTATGGACATCAGTTGTGGCACGCCACAACGACTCGTACACCAGTCGTCGCGCATCTTCGTGCAAAATTGATATGCGAGACAGTCGAAAGCCTAGCGGACATGGTAAAAATATGTTCACCATTGGGAAATCAAGCCAAGTCGAGTGAGTGTCGTTTGGACTGCCGTCTACTTGCTCCTGTTCTCGTTTCTTAGACGAGCGGAGACGGTGTTGAAACCAGTTTTCATGAGCTGATTCATGTTGCTTTCGCGTCAGATGTGCAAAAGTCGGATTATACTCTGCGTACAGCTCCGGCTTTAATCGATACTGAAATTTACCTCCATTTTGTGAATCCGCGGCGCCAGAAGATGCTGAAAATCCTGCCTCCACACACACCTCTTTCAAGATTTGATCTAGAATCGGACCTCCTGAGAAATTGACCGGAAATAGGTTTTCGCGACTTAAGAAAAACTCATTTGCAATCTTAGATAAGTCACTGTGTGCACAAGGTCCAACGCACAGACGCTGAACAATTTCTCGGCGCAGATACGGAACTAGGCTACGCATAGCGTCTCCATCTGCCATCTTTGGTGGCAACTCGGACGCGAGCTGCGATAACAGAGCTAAACACTCGGTCACCATTAGCTCTGCCTCTTTTGCGTCGGAGCTTTGTACTGCTTCATACCACGCTTTGGCGTCAAAACGCTGCATGATCGATGTCATTATCCAATCGACGCCCAAAAGCTGGAAACTAAACTGAAGCAACAGTAGATCAAGATCACGGAATCGAGCACAGAACGGTGGCTCACCGTAGTTCATACTATGGTTGACCACTGACATGCCATTGCGCACCCACAATCCAGAATGCACTTGAGCATCCCATACAATTGCTTGTAGCACAGGATCGATTAAATGCACCCGATGCCAAAACCCGATGGGACTATCAACATCGTGAATCCACACCGATTCATCGTTCTTCAACACACTGCTTTGAAGCATAGACAGAAAGGTATCCAAACCGTTCGCAGAGTCACTTAACGCCCGAATCAATTGTGATAGCGTGCGCTGGAGGGGGAAGTGACATGACACTGCCGTCTCAAGCTGGTCTGCACGAAGAGTGTCGCCAACCTGGTAATCCGGAGGAGGGAAATACTTGCCAGCTGATGCTAACCAAAAGTAAAAAGCCTCCAGTATTGCTTTTAAGAGCTTTGTAATCAAATGCTGTGACGCCTCCGGAGAATGCATAACCTCAGGCCCGCCAGCAGTCTTGAAAGCGTTTGATACAACCCACGAAGACACATCTGAAGTCGTTGACACGAACTCCACGGTCACAACCCACCCACGTGATTCCATCTCAACATGATCTCCAAACCGTCGAACCTCTGAGCATGCCCCTTGAATGAAGGCAAGATAAAGCAAAAAGCGAGCTAGACGCGAGCCCCCTTTGTCCAGCACAAAACTTTCGGAAATGCCCTCAATTTGCAGGACATATCGCAAATCCAGCAAGCCTGACATGTAGCGGCGGCACACGAAAACTGGTGACGTGACATCTAGCATGAACCGTCCAGTAAGTTCGGTTTCAGGGGGCAAACTTAAGAATGGCGACACCTCTCTTTGGTATCTAATGTGGTAACCTGCTCGTTCAGCTTCGAGTACTAGGGTGCTTACATTGACGTCTCGTAGTGTAGGCCCCTGCGAACGCTGGATGCCCATCGCAAACACATCCCATATATCGAGTTCTCGGTTATAATCTGGATGCAGCACGTGTACCATGTTATCCCAGGTATCTTCAAACGCAATATCGACGAACTCTGTTTTCTCCTTCTTGCGCAGGGTCTCAAGAACTGAATTTACCAGCACTTCCAGAAGGTCATGTTCGGCAACCAGTTTTTTCACAAAGGTGGCCCGATTAAAGAACTGCACGCTGAATGCTAATATGGTGGCCGTTGAGCTGCCAACTCCCGCAGCAAATTCTCGATAAAGCTGGCGGTACGACGACGTAAACGAGATTGCAAATGCTTGCTTAAAAAGGGGGTCGGCCAAAAGAGCCATTAGCAGGCTGTGAAGAGCATCGCTTCCAGTTTTGGGCAAGAACGAATCAGCCATTATAACAGCCCGGAGCATCGGATAATCGTATACTTCATCGACTTCCATGCTGCAACAGGTATGCTCTAAATTCTCCACAGCGCACATCTGCATCCCAAAATTGAAGCGTTAGAATGTATAACAGCCAATGTAAGCATGGTTTATGCTGCAAATATTTGTGCCGATCCGTACCCTTTCACAAATCAGGCGACAAAGCCCGTCTGAAAGATTTGCTAGTGAAGCAAGCCATTGAAGCAACGAGTTGATCAAGGGCACCCTTGCTTTGTATTCGCACGATACAATAGAAGCCACAATTCCATGCTTGTGCAAGGATGATGCAAGTTCAAGAACATCTTCGCGAGATGCCTTCGCTCGCACAGTGCTCTGCTTCTGCGACGATGTTTCACCGACAATCTTGAGCATTTGGTACTGCTTATACGACCGCAAACAACAAGCACTTCAGTCCAATTATCACACCATTCAATACTTTTTTTCTACGTACAGCAATCGCAGGGTGGGCCTTATTTAACGCTGTCGCAAATTCTTGCGACGTTTGCAATTCGTTATAGTGCACAATAACTGAATAGCGTCTATCCGGTAACTGACTCGCCAGTTTATCCCGCACCACGTCCAAGTCGCTCGAATAAATCACCGAGCCGAATCTAGCTTCCTTTATTGCATCCAGTACTAACTTCATCACTTCCACGATACATTCACGTGAATTCACCAGCAAATCCGGCGGCAAAAAGCTCAGCGGGTCTGCATCTTGTGCTCCCTACCACAATGAATCTCATAAGCCATATCGTTTTCTATCTTATCAGTTAACTCTTACCAAAAAAAGAAATATCTTACCTTGTGTCGTGTGCAAAAACCTTCGGACGCCCAGGCTTCAGTATCTCCACAATCACAGCAGCCTCCACTTTGTGTATAGTAGAAAAACACTTCATGGTCTTCATGATCACTAGAAATAAAGCAATTGTTGCACATGACACACGTTTCGTCCACCTATTCAACAGCCACATACAACCCCACACATCAAAACATCCTCGTCAGCTACACCATTCCAGTCTTCTCCTTCAAGATTTCACTTCTAACCTGACAAACTTTACAGTTCCAAGCAATATCACCAGGTTTAAATTCATAGGCGCACATGCGTTTCGGCAGTTTTTCGAGCGCTTGGCGGCTCTTGGCGTCCAAAACGCAAGTTTCCAGCTCATCCAACAGTCGTTTTTCCTCTCCCTCGTGCTCCTTTTCACCCCAAGATGTACTCGCCTTCATTCCATCCAGAATCAAGCGTACTTTAGTCTCGGAACCGCTTATAACGCAATCGCCATCGTCTTGTTCCTGGTCCTGATTGCTGTCGTGACGCGTCATAATCGACGTCGCACGACGCTGGTCAACGACACTCCGTGCACGTGCAAACAAATCCATCGACCCTCAGCTGTCTCTGTCTCTATCTCTCGCTGTCTCTGTCTCTGGCTGTCTCTCTTTCCCCCTCTCTCTCGCGTCGATAGCTTCAGTTGGACGGTCGACTCTGAAAATTTCACGAATGAATACGTAATTTAGAAAAAAAATATTTGGTTTCAAAAGCATCATTTATTTTGGGTCGTTGATCTTTTTGGGTCTCTGGATCCTTTTTAGAAGGTGACACATGGCTACATTTGTGACTGTAACCCTCCAGCCGCATTTCCATACTCGTTGGCAGCATACCATGGTTACTACAAGTCCTCATGTTATTAGTGTTGTATCTCCTTCATTCATCGTATTGACATTAGTCACAAGGCTCAACGACAACACAGTCAAGTAAGGATCAAATCCACCGGTCTCCATGCTATTAAGTTAACAGCCACGACGATGCCGACAATATTCACGCTCACACACGGCCAGCAACTTCATTCTCCACTACGAGTTACTCTCCTACTTGCTCATGACTTTGAGAGAGATTTGAATGTCGCCGACTTGACGGAAGCAGGCGTAAACCTTTTGATGAAATGCCAGTTGTAGACGCTCCTCTCCTTGGGAGACGAGCTTGCTGTCAAAGACAGTCTTGATAATATCATACGCTGCTATGGTCGAGCAGGGGCAGTATTTTTTTGGTTAGGGGCGTGACTTTAGTTCTAGTACTTTGGCGGCATTGTCATTATGGAAGGGATTACAACGCATAACTTAGATCGAGTTCATTCGAAAGGATGAAGATTGTAGAGTGCAATCATGCAACTTGGTGGAGAGAACTGGCACATTGACAAGAGTTAAGAATCAACCGCTAACATCTTCATGTATTATAACTATGTTTTGTCTCCTATCTCCAGACCTACGAAGGTCTGAGAATTGTAAATGTTGATCACAACAAGTATGTCTTCGACATAAAAACTTCCGTAGCGCTGTCGACTTGATTCCAACGTCATGTCGCTTTGTATCATACGAGACCGATTGCCGCTTGTCGAAGCACTCAACGACATCTATACTATACATCACTCGTATGATTCAAACCGATCGCGTTCAATCGTACTTCTCCACGAACGGCGTCGGAAAGGAAAATTTGTCGTTGTTGTCCAGCTCGGATGCCCTCTCCGAGGCAGTCGTGGAACCGCCCGTTCCTCGGTACGACTTGCGCTGCTCCGTTGGCAAACGAATCTCCATCTCGGCCACGCGCGTCATAGTCGTAGTAAGCAGCAACATGGCCTCATTATACTGCCTCTCTTGGTCTGCCACACGAGTCATAAGGATCTTGTTGCACTCCTCCAACGTAGCCACACGGTACTGCAGAACGCTCACATCAATGGCGTGGTGGTCACTTTCCGTAAGACTCATCACCGTGTCGCTACTTGCAGTGTTATTATCGGGTTGTCGGCCCCCGCTCAGTATCCGATTAGGTCGCGCTCCAATCGTGTTGGTGCTATACCGCAGGTTCATCTGTGGACCAAGAAGATTCGAAGGCCGGCCCACCGTCGAATGTGTAGACCCAGCACGCGTCGTACGGGTACTGTTCAGTCGAGATCCGAGCAAATTACTGGGGCGGGTAGTACTTGATGGCAAGCTACTATTGCTAATCGTGTCCATTGCTTCAGGAATTGTAGAAGATGCAGATACCGTCGATGGAGCCGACGTCGAACCCATGCAGCGTAAATTAGGACCTTTCTTGTCAATCGGCGGACCGGTGCCAGAAATGTGGCTTCCCGACGCGCGTGTGGATCGAACACCGACAACGCCAACAGTCGGCGTAGTGTTCGACAACATTGGCCCATTGCGGTGGATTCGGTAGCAGTCGCCGCACGCAGAACGCTTTTTCACGAAGTTCGGCAAGATGATTCTGCCAGCCACGTGCTTCTTGCACAAATATACGAAGCACCCCTTGCACTGATACTTCTTGCGGAACATGGAAAACTTTCTGTAGCATACGCCGCATACGCCAGCGTTGTGCTCGGGCTCATAAATCGGCCGCTCATAAGCAGCATCATCAGCAGTCGCAGGAGCAGGAGATTCTGAAATCTCGCAAGTGCTCTTAGTCCGCGCAGGACCCTGTGGGGGGGCGCCACGCGTCAGCGTGGCCACTGATGTCGGAGGCGGGGACAACGTGTCTGTCACCATTACCTGCGGAGCGCTTTCAGTCTTCCGCAGGAGCGATATTGACTTGGACACATTCGAGTGTGACTGCACAAGTGCCCCATCTACAAAGCTAAGTGTCGTCACCATGTTCTGGCTATTTTCAAAAGGATTTTGCGATGCCCCCAGGTCAAAAGAAGCTCCGATCGGGCTCGACTGCGGCAACGATGCATTCGGGCCATTCATCGATGGTGGGTTCAGCATGCTCTGGCGCAGCAACTGGCTCTGCATTTCAATATCACGCTTGACGTCTTCATATTCAAAGGCGTCGTCGTCGTCCTCACTGAGATCCATATATTCCTGTTCTGCGCGCTGAAGCATCTCCAGGCTTCCCTGCGGTAGCTGCATCTCCTTGGCAAGCTGAATGACCGTCTTACCGGCGGGTGTCTCCTCCATTAACGAACTGGGTCGTGCATCCACCAGCAACCTCAGCGTTTCCAAGGGGGCGCATGCCTTGACTGCAATCTGAATTGGCAAGTACTGCGCATTGTTCTTGGTGACCACTGCTTCGGGGAACGCAGCGAGAAGCGCCCGCACCACCCCTGGCGGAGTGTCGTTCTCTGTACAAGCCCAGTGTAGCGGCAGCATGCCGTGATGGTCCTTGTGTCGTGCAAGCTGCGGCTCGGACGCCACTCGTTCGATGAGCGTAGTCCACTTGCCCATTTCGGCTAATCTTATGCCTTCTTTAAAGTGCGGACGCGAACTGCGGTCCACACCCAATGAGTCGGCGCGCAGGGAGCGACGCGATGCGTCTAATGGCTTTGTACAGTCCCCGTCTAACTTGTCGCTGTCGCTACTGGTGCTAGTGCTGCTTGTGTCCTTGACTGCAGTGACCACCTTCTTAAGCTCCTTTGATGCTTTCTGTGCTGAGGACGCAGCTGCAAACTGCTCCGGCATGGCCATGGCTGGTGGGAAGAAAGAAGAAGAACTGCCTTTTCCGATTGTGGCTGCAGGGCCGCTCAAATGTAAAAAACTGTTGTGCGTTTGTTGTGCATGGGATCGCAGCCTGTTCGAACACTGGCATTCACACTTCACCTTGTGGTACTCACAACTTAACTACCAAGAGCTACGAGAACAGATTGGCAAGGGTATGACGAAAGAGAAGGAGTCATTGCTTTGGTTTTGTATAAGATGGAAAATGATTGGAGCGTGGAAGCATGGACGTTATGCTGGACACGAGGGTCGAAATACCGGACTCTTGATGCCCATCACCACGACAGAACACCACGTGGGGTCTTATTACCCCACAAGTTGTGTCACATCGCGAACGTCCAGAAGCTGGCGACGTTGTTAACTATATAGCGAACCATTGCCATACCCTGGAAAATAAACCTCTGTGGATGATGCATGATTTGAAAACAAGTAGTCGACCAGAAGTCACCGGTCTCCGTTACGCAATTATAGTGTGCATTGCTCATGGTACAATGCAATTGGCATCTTTATGAGACTCTGCGTTTGAATAAAAGAGGCTGTCCACTAATTGCTATACGGTCGCCAGTACTCAATCAGGCACAACAACCTTCGGCCGAGCTGGCTCGCACGATTTGCTAGAAAAAACAAGCTGCTGTGGATGATGCGATTGCCATAGAGCTCTGTCCCTTTCACGGTGTCACCATAGGGCTTTTCCCCGTCCACGCGTGCCAACAATGCCTTTTTCATTCGTCGTGCGATCATGTTAAAGCCTGTCCAAATATTAGTCCATCTCTGGTTGAGGGATATTCGCTTTAGTGTAGATATATTCAGATGAACACATGGTAACAATGCCTAGTGTGATCACATCGGGAAATAGGCGATGTTCGTGATACCTGTCAGAGCACCTGAGCATATCAACTTTCGTTTTCAGGTTATGAGCGAGTACAATAAATTCCAGCAGTACCTTACATGATGTTAATGTACAACAATTAGTCAAGTCAGTAAACTTGACTAGTCTTTGACTACCACTATGCTTCTGGCTCCTTCAAACGATATTTTTGCAGCTTTAGGAGCATTCCACGACTACCTTTATTCCAAGCGTGGTGGTAGATAAAGACTAGGCACAATCGTGAACAATGCTTCAAATAATATGATACGGACAGGTCTGCTGCAACGCATACCAAAGTCACTGCAGAGCCTTCATTTGTGCAATGATGACCATGTTCCGCTGACCCAATGAGGCTTTACGAGCTCGATACCATCTGCAAGCACGAACAAATTCAGATGAGCAGACAGATAATTTGAATCATTTAAATTGCTTAGACTCTACACTTGCCATTGCTAGTCTCAGTCTTGTGCAAAATTATGGGTTGTTCTAAACACTCACGCCAGTCGTCACTTTGCTTGTAATGTAAGTGTTGTCTCGAGACACACACTCAACTCAGTAAACATAACTTAGCAGAGTATCAACATACAGCAGAGGCGCGACACATATCTATCTATGACATGTCATCCATTTTTAGCTGAATCAACTGCTTTTCATGAAGCTTGCACACGTACTGCTCGCAGGTCATTGCATTCATGTGTTGTTGCAGTAGGTAAGGAAACAAAGTCCTTTTGTAATAGCAAGGTCATTTAGCCTCAAAAACAGCGACGACTTGCCGAACGCAAGTGGTGCTCCACCGAATGTCAGACTAACTCGTACATACCGATGATAGTCGATTTGAGGTATCGCAATCCCTGCTTTATTCGCGCCCAAATGACACCACCAAGATACATGTTGCCTCCAGTGGACAGACTTGAGAGAAGCAGACGAGTCTAATCATCCTTTAATGGTTACAGGATGTCTGGTAGTTCCTAAGCCTGGATAGCAACGCCGGTTCCTCGTTCGAGTCATGTGGTTGCACAGGGTGCGGTGACGGCTCTCCGAACTATCTAGCGATGGCACATTGACATAGCATCAGACAAACTCCTTGTGTTTTTGTGTCGGTTCGTCGACACTCTTGCTTCGCTACGGCTCAATGTTGCCTCATGCTGGTTTCTCACCACTCATGAACGCTGCCAGCGAGCTTTTAGAAACTGTTATCTTGCCCTCGGTCTGGATGAAAGCGATTCATTTGCCTCATTGCCACTCTATAAACGACCTAAACTTGGTACGCGATGAGCTCCTCCAGCGGATATAGACTTGATATTCCACGTCTTCGTACGTAGAGCTGCTGATCGTATAAATGATGAGATTTACACCAGTTTATACGATCAGATGGACGTTTAGATTCGGCTTATGGGGTACCATGCAATATCCCATGAGCCGAATGTAAACGTCCATCTGAACTGACTATGACATCGCGATGTCTATTGCTGATCACCTAAGACTTCCGTCATAGTGTGCACAATAACAGCATGTTCCGACTTTATATTCATAAAACCTGCAATATTCTGCTTTATGCCACAGTTAGCCTGCTCATCATTATATATGGGACGGATGCATCGCTTCATCGAAGTAAAAAGGTCAGCAGGAGAAACGACTGTAGTTACAAACTTCTGCTGTAACACTTTTCTACCAAACAATTCTTACAGCCTTGGTCCGTCCTTGCGATTGTGTCTAGCCAAAACTAAACGAGCCGACGATCATATTCCAAAGCAAAGTGACGATTGGCATGAGCGTTTCTGGACAACTCAAGCGAGGACATCGCTACGACTGGTGCGCACGAGACTATTTATTCCAGTTTAATTGTGCAGAGCGTAAGGTTAGTAAGTTAGTAGTTCAGAAGACGTATCAGCATTTTGTGTGAGCTGCAAAATGGAGAAACGCGATCAGATCCAGTAAACAGCGTCGAAATAGTGTTCGACCCAGCGATAAACTGCAACTTTGCTTAACTGTTCCGACCTAAACACTTCGACCAAACGTTTTTAGGACTGATGTCACCAAAATCGTTACTGCAAAAACAACTCGCTGGTTAACTCAAGCGGTACAGCACGTGTCTGGTTAGCCTAAACTATTTATACCGCGAATTAATTATGCCTTGTTGCCAATGCCATCGGCGCTTTTGCATTGAAGCTTGTCGACAATGGTGTATAGAATGAAGCTGAAAAACTCATTTACATAGCATTCATGGTACCATAATTTAACAAACAATAGCTTCTCCGCTTCGTCAAGAACTATAAAGTAGTAAAAATCGTCGAGGTCTGATGAAGTGGATTAATGGTCGTGTATTAGGTGGTCATAATCGTACTCAGGATACATGAAAACTTGTGCGTCATACGCGTTAGCCCGACAGACACTCGATACCAACGTTTTAAACTTGGTTGTACTCTTTGTGTAGGTCGATGACTCGCTGGACATCGCGCTTGCAGCCCAAGAAGATCGGTGAGCGTTGGTGGATGTGCGTGGGGACGAGGTCGAGGATCCGCTCCGTGCCGGTGGTCGACATACCTCCCGCCTGCTCCATAATGAATGACATGGGGTTGCACTCGTACAGCAGACGCAGCTTGCCATCCTTACACTTTTCGCTACCCGGGTAGAGGTAGATGCCTCCATACAGAATAGTTCGGTGGATGTCGGACACCATACTGCCAACGTAGCGAGCTGCATACGGCTTAACCTTGCACTCGTCGACGAACGCCTTAGTTGCACGATCCCAGTGGGCGTAATTGCCTTCGTTGCATGAGTAGATGGCCTTGGGCTCGTCCGGGATGCGGATGTCCTTCTGCGAGAGCATAAAGGCACCAATGGTCGGGTCCAGAGTGAAGCAATGGACGCCCTTTCCCCACGTCAGCACGAGCTGCGTAGAGCTACCATACATGCAGTATCCCGCCGATACAAGTTTGCTGCCAGGCTGTAGAATGTCCTTGTATCTGTTTTACCATTACAATGTCAGCTATTGCACAATACAATGATACTTTTTCTTCTTTACACAATACGCACCCTCCTTCCGACGAAGCGTCACGTTGGTAGATTGCAAAGATAGTACCCGTGGACACATTGCAGTCAATGTTAGAGGAGCCGTCGAGTGGGTCAAAGGCGATGCAGTACTTAGTGCCTCCCGACGAGTGCTCCACATGGATAGGCTCCTCCTCTTCCTCTGAGACCATCACCTCAATCTTGGTCGAGAACTTGAGCGAATTGATAAAGATGTCGTTGGACAGTACATCGAGCTTCTTCACCTGGTCGCCCGTAGCGTTCTCCGAGCCGTCGAGCCCATAGAGACCCGTTAGACCCGCGCGACGTACGGAGCTTGCAATGACCTTGCAAGCCAACTCGATGGATGTGAAGAGTACACTAAGGTCAGCGTTCCCCTGGATCTCCTTCTCGGCCAAGATGAAGCGCGAGAGTGTGATGGGGTTCGAATGATCCACTTGGGTGGACATGATGGAAAAGCGAGTTGAGACGTGGCGGAGTGCGACCGACAACGCAAATTTGTAAATGTCACGAGATCTTGAAGGATGAAGTGAGACTTGTGACGTTGCCCGTGTCATGATGTACCTTTCGAGTCTCGTGAATTTTAATGATTGATCATTGTTTTACTATTTCTTACAGGTAGATAATTGTCGCTTGAAAGTGCACTGAACATAGCGCACCGAGGATGATTTGGACAGAACCTTGCATGGTTGAGTTGGTAATTGAATGAAGCCAGAACTACGTTACTGAGATAGACAAACCTCAGGAACGTAGTTGTGGTCACCATCCAATTACCAATTCATGCAAGATTCTGTCAGGTAAACTGCGTAGGGGCCGATCAATTCCACATTGTCATGGCTACAGAATTGTGGACGTACACGTCCTAGTCATCGATTAAGTAATGAAACAACCGACACTCAGCTTAAGCCAGTGCTGCGTTTACTGCAAAGAGATGCTGTACGTCCATCGTGTAACTCGTCTGGTTTCTTCTGAGTTCTTTTCAGCTGTTTTTGTATGTGTTTAATTTCTACTCGTAGCCAGAGAAGCTTGGCTCAACTCAGCTCCATTGAGCAAGCTTCAGTCTCGGCTTGTAAATGGACGACCATCATGAATTTACCTCTTACAGCTTGTTCATGGAAGCCACGTCCACTGACTGCACGTAGTCCTCAAAGCTCTCAATGGCTTCCGTAATGTCATCGAGCAGCACCATATCGTCAATAATGACACACTGCACCAGCAACTTCTTAATACCAAAGGCTACCGGCACAAGCTTGTGGCCCTCACCCCACGTCAGACCTTCCACAGGGAGGGCCTTGATCTTGGCAGCCAGCTCCTCAAGGTCTGTTTCGGCCTCCCACGGCTTTACCTCAATCACGACCTGCGAGCGCTCCACGGGCTTCTTCTTCTCCTTCTTGGCAGACTTGGCGGCCTCTGCGCGCTTTGCAGCGAGGGCCTTGGTAGCTTCGTCGTCCTCCTCGTCGTCATCACCGAAAAGGTCGTCGTCATCGTCCTCCTCTTCGTCCTTCTTAGCAGCGGCCTTCTTAGGGGCAGCAGCCGTTTTGTTCACAAGAATAGAGCGCAGGCCCAACTTGGCAGCCACGTGAACGTACCAGCGGTACACGTTGGCAAATTTGGCAGCGTCCGGGACAGTGGAAAACTGCTGGAATACGGCCGCATCAGCCGAGCTGAACTTGTATCCTTCAATATAGCTACGGTTGGTCAAGAAACCATTGAGCTTCTTTAGACCAGCGTCCTGGTTCAAGTTATCGAAGGTGACGCCCATGGTTTTGCTATTGATTACTTGGTTTTGCCGTATGTGGACTAGATCTGTGAGGGGAATGTTGCGCTTGGCTGGCCAGGAGCGCGGCCGAAAAGATTCACGAGATTAGCTCGGTCGAGGTTAGCGGCATAGTAAAAGATAGGATGCGGATATGATCGTAGACTTGAAACTAGGGTAAAATTGGCATTTTTCTGATAATGATAGTATTCCATAAACCGCATTATTAATATTTCTACTGAGCTAGCGATTCGCTATTGGACTGTTCGGAAGTCTGCATGCTCTATATTGTACGAGTCGCATAAAATCAAACCCATGAGTCCACAAAAGGTAAATACTGCTGGTGCGTTTGCATGAAAGTGCACGAGAGCCTCTACAAGGGTTTGAAAAAGTGTAATGAAAAGCTCTTTTGACGAAGAATAGAGAGAAAAACAAGAAAAGGTGACAACCAACATCTAATTTGAGAAACATTACGACCTGTAGACAGACTACAAGGTACTGTGCAAATGAAGAAAAAGAAAAAAAGGTGTCTACATATCTGCCACTGCGTACTTGTAGGCTTCTTCGCTGACCGCAGTGCTCGCATTCTGTCGCATCATTATCTTTTCCTCCCAATTCGTACCCCGCACAACACCGTCCCAGCGATAGCCTGGCATGATATTGAAACGGTTGGGTGGGGCAGGTGGACCCGCGTATTTTCGCTTGACATTGCTCGCCTTCTTGTCCTTCTTGCTTTTCTTTTTTGTCTTGCTCTTGCCTTCAGCCAGTGGGTCCTCCTGAAAAATCTTGCTATTAAGAGGATCAAATGCACGTACCCGCCCCCGGCGCTTTCGCTCAAGCTCTTCATCATCTTCATGACGGGCAAATGGGGTATTTTTCATCTGCTCCATCAATTCCAGCTGCGACTTGCGTTCTTGCTTTTGCACTTCACCCGTACCCCACTCGTACTCTTCGCGTTCCTCACGCTTGCGCTTACCATCTCGAACTTCCTGTTGCCGAACCATCTCGTTAAGCATGTCCAACTTGCGACCACGCTTGTCACGATACACCGTCTTGGCATTCGCACCCATCTCAGAGGCATCGATGCCGCGCATAATGTCGTTTTCCTTCGCCGCAATCTTGCGTTGCCTGTCAAACTCGGCAGCAGTAAACAAGCCAGCCTTTTTCTCTTCCTTCACATCGTGTGTCCCAATGTTGGGGTCCTTCTTTAGTTTCGAACCGCCGGCATTTTCACTCTTGAGATCGTTACGCAAAGGTGACTTCACAGCCATACGCGAAGGTGACTTCATAACCGTACGCGAGCTTTTATACGCATTATAATCGTCCCGTGATTCCGCTAGATCGACTGATTCATGCCGCGATGATCTGCGTTTTGGACTATGCGATCGTGAACGAGAGCGTCGAAAAGAAAAGTCTACGACGTGTTTTGCACGACTGCGGCTGTGACTACGACCACGTGTGGAGTCATCTCGTCGAGGCGAGCCCCACCTCGTCGACTTTCTCGGTGATCGTCGGCGTGGCCCGGATGGTAAGCGGCTGTCACAACGACGCGTGCGAGGCGATCGGCTACGGCTTTGACGCTCTCTTCGACTCGAGGTTGGAACATATGCACTTCGTTCCCGGTCACGGTCATTCTCTCGACTATTACTTCGGCTCCTAGTATTGATTTTGCTGCGATGTCGGTTGGTGGTATCATCTTTCTTGGAGGCAGAAGAAGACCGCCTCTCACTTCGACTATGGCGAGTGCGAATGTCTCGACCAAGAGAATCTACGCGACGCTGTCGATCAGGTACAATAGGCGACCCAGATGGCGAGTGTCGACGTCTCTGTTCATTTCGTTTTGATCCGTCTTCCATGTGATAAGATCTCTTTGGATGCGATGTGTCCTTGTTGTCCTCAACACTACATTTTTGCTTAACTGGAAGACGACGAGAAGGCGAAACAACATCGCCTCGTGCATGCTGCGACGAAGCAGTTTTCTTCCTGTCACGACGCGATGGTGAAGCATCACCATCCCGCTCCTTACGCGCAGGTCGTCTTGGTGGCGAGGCGTCTTCACTCTGTTGTTCATTTCGACGCTGCTCACGTCGTTCCTGCCTCTTTGGTGGCAAGACATTCGTTTTGTCGTTGCTGTCACTATCTTCTCTTCGTTTTTCAAATATCTTCTGAACAGCATCGGGTTGCCTTCGTGGCGGAGACGCATCCTGATTCTTTGGTCGTCTCGGTGGCGATACCTCGTCGTCCTCGTGTCCATTCCTACGACCTTCTTCCCCTCTTTTTTTCCGAGGTGGTGACAGATCTTCATCTTTTGTAATCTTTTCTTCCTTCTTCTTACCCTGAAACTCATCCAAGTACTTGTCCGAATCCACATAAACCGGCAGATCGTGAACATCCATCACCTCGTCCCCGTCCGCGGCCACCACCAATGGCTGCTCATCCTCAGCGACGTCAAGTTCCCACTTTTTATCAATGTCTTCTCTACTAGGCGCCGAATGCTCCCACGCGTCGTCTGCGTCGACCACGTGCGTACCCACAGCTGCAGATTTTACCTTTTTGACTTTTTTGACTTTCTTCCTCTTCTTGTCTCCGTCTGCAGCGTCTAAGAGAAAAATAGAAAGATGAGGTATAAGTGTCTTGACTATGAATTAAAGCCACAGAGGCTTAGAAGAAGCACGTACTATCACCACCGCCAGACATATAGCGCTGCAGATATTCCAGCTTTGACGTCATGATCACCTACTGGATGCAAACGTATTTGTGATTTGGTATCATGTAATATATTTTGTGGGTCACTAATTTTGCTCCATGTACACATATTTTGGTTCATGGCTTCAACATGGCGCGGAGCACGAAAGACATGAGGGAACCACCAGTGAGACCAAGAGACAGCACGAAAAAGATGATACTGCCTCCCAGTTCTTTTTCAGCGTTCTTGTGAAGTAAATTGGGATACTCCATAAATGCCAGTGCACATAGCAGTCCATTGGAGAAGGCGCAGCCAGCAATGAAGAGTATGGCCAGCACGTCACTTCGAAAGACGACTTTCGTGATCACTTCGTGCGATTTGTTTTGCAAATTACAAAGCATCAACAATGGGAAGAAGAGCAGTCGTCCAATACTGACGAGTAGCACCCTCTTCTGTCCGAGTGTCGGCCACCACGATGCGGATAGCCGCGCGACGAAGTCCGACGCATTAAAGAGGACGAGCGTGAACGGGGTGAACAGCTGGTCGAATAAGACACCTCTTTCTGGGTGCATTGACTTGATCATAGAAGTAATTCCAGGAAAAATACCTAGCGTCACGATAAATATGAAGAACGTCGCTATCACGTAGAACCGTATCTTGAAGGCAATCTCCAGCATATCCACTTTGTCGCCAGTGTCTTCAAGGTCATCTTCTCCGTCCAGCAGGCGTTTCCGTGGGGAAGCATCGGATGCATCAACCGTGTCTGCTTCACTTGACGCATCATCAAAATAAAGTTTCGGATTGTGTCCAGGATGATCGACTCTCTGATAGTGGCGGAACAACTGCATCCTAGTGAGGACCGCAAAAGACAGCAGACACAAGACGAGCGTGATGAACACCAGCACGAAGTACAGGAGTGCACACAAGTCTGCATTAGCATGCAGTCCATAGAAAAATTTGGAATCATCTTCTCCTGCCCACAAAATGATCATGTTTGACAGAGATACGGCTAATCCAGCAAAACTTTGTCCGCTAACCACCGCTTGTGTATACCGCGGCGGGAACGTCGCGACAATACGTAGCAGCCCTTCTTGCATCAATGTCGAAGCGCATGCAACCAGGATTATGCTCACGATGGTCGTATAAAAGAACGAATAACCTAACATAACGCTCAGAAACATGGATTAGTATAGCAAATGTAGCCTAATTGTCACAAAATTCTGCAAGTTCATACCGTGGAATTCGGGCATACGCGTCCAGGCGCAGTGCATCGAGATGACGCCCATGATAACGACAAGTGAGAACAAGACAGTACGCACGGCACTTGCCATGCGATCCGCGATGACCGTCGTACGAATGAGCATCGTCATGAGAGTGCTCACATTAAAGGCCATACTAAACCAGTTAAGGAACGAATCTTCGTATGTGGTACCTGACAGACGGTGCTGAAAATAAGCCTGTGCAGTGATGAATACGTTCCATGGCAGTGATGATCCAATGCCGATAAAGAAAAAGATGGCGAATACTACGCCCGAAGTGTGCTGTCGGCCCCCCATCCCGATACTTGAAGAAGAATTGCCGGGCGTATCCTATAACGGGTCGAAAAACTTGAAATTTACCCCAAAAAAAGGATATCGTGATAAAATAATCACATTTGAATTTTTACGCTAGCTATGATTGAATGACGTAGAGGATGACCAATCAGCAGTCGCCATGTGAGAGGACACGCTAAGATCGGCAACATCCCTTCTTTCAACTCTTCCGCGCTGACATAAAGTTTCCTCGTCAATCATTTAGCACCAAACACGCTTTAGTGCTAATTGATAGACGAAGGAAACTTCATTTAGCACCCAACACGCTTGCCACCCAGCTAACGGGCACGTCGCCAGCGAAAAATTCACACGTCAACCGGATAATGTAGCGCTTCTGATCAGTCAACACAAGGAGCAGACCGATCGACACAAGGAATCAGGTATTCAGGCAAAGATAGAGTAAAGGAGTTAACAGGAAAGGACTATATTAAATACTACTCAATTTGCGATCTACTTGGCAGTCTTCGTCGTGCTGTAAAGGAACTCGAGTCTGGCCACACGACTGTTCCGGGGAAGGGATATATTTGCCCCCCCCCCCCGTTGAAGACAGGCGTGTGGTTAGACTCAAGTGCGAGCTGAACCCCACGTGGCACGAATTCGTCGTCCTAAAGAACTTGCTCTTAGCTACTCACTGTTCCGGGAAGGGATATATTCTGGCCCCCCGTCGAAGACAGTTGTGTAGCGAAGTTCAAGTGCGAGTAAAGCTCCATGATATACTTGGACTGTGAGCTCGTTCGAGTAGCAACACCCTTCCATACCCGCCATCGGAAGCGGTCTCCCTTACCTTACGATCCGGGAGCAAAGTAAAGGTCAGGTTGTTGATACCCCTGAAACAAGAAGGATAAATCCAAATACAATAAGCTATTTAAAGAATTTGGTTCTAAGCCCACTCTCGAATAGGTCGATCGAGTGGCCACCTACCGGCCCACCGAGTGAAGCATATTCACTCGAGGCCCCCAGGTCTACCTCTCTCAAGGCAGACCTCTGCATCCTCACCAAGTCCTCCGAAGAGTGCAACCCGCCAGCCGACGGGTACACAAGGTAAGAGAAGGTCCATAAGCGGCATCGGAGGTACCCCCTCCGACAGTCGGCAGTCCGGCACAATGAGTGGTTGGAGTCTCATCATAATATTCTAAGAATCCACTTAATTACAGTTGTTCACGGCACACATAACGCCTAGTCAAAGACTTTTCGAAATCTCCTTGAAGGAGATCTCGACTAATCGATTGATAACGAAAAGACACTATCTTCATGGAGCCCAATGGGTCCCCTCTAACCACACTTCAGTGTAAAGATGACACTAGTCATGCATCGAATCCGTCCCTGAACTTGGTGCTGCGGATGCGCTTACAGCGTTACGCGATCCGCCTGACGTATCTTCAACGGCGACGGTTAATAACCTGCTCGATGAGCAACAACAACGGTCCGTTAACGAATAGGAAGGCGCAAAGCGCCGGTCAAAGAATATGAATAGACTTCAGGGCCACCGGCAGTATAAGTATGCCACTCTCTGTGGGAGAGGCCTTAAGAAGGTATATAATAGTCCCTCTATTTAGCCTACGACTACTTCTACTGAGTATATCGCCACGCAAACGGCTCTTCGACAACAGTATCTTATACTCCACATCACCAAGCGAAGCCAATACTTAGCACGCCTCACTATGGTGCACCAGCGTTCCCATCGCCGGAAAAACCGAGGAGGAAGAGGCTAAGACCTTAAGCCTCTGGCGCACTATGCACCACGCCTAAGCAGCATGTGAGCTCTACGAGCAAGTGAAGACGTGGCAGACGTTCGCCTAAAACAAAAATGCGATACGACTGCGCTAAACTGAAGACTCGAGTAAAGTTGCGGTCACAACGAACGCAATATGCGTCTGCTACGCAGCAGTAAAGTGTCTCGTCTACTCCTTTAGCCGAGAGTTCACGACAGGTTGAGCCTGTGAGTGCCCGCCATCGCCACTACTGGCGAGAAACGCCATTACCAACAGTTGGCCCTGCGCACGACGTTCAAAACGTCCACGGCGTACGGTCAGTCCTGCCATAGGAGAACCTCGAATCTCCATGAGTTCCACGACTTGGGGTGATCCGCCACTTTACCAGATACTGGTTTTGACCATGGCGGAAACGTTTCTGCAGTAGACTTTCCACATGGAATTGAAGGTTCCCTTGTCCGTGAAGCAAAGCCGGAGGAGGCCGGTGTATCGGCACAAGCTCATGCCGAGCTACTTCAAGAGGTGCAGTCTCTCCACTGTGCAGTCAATGAATTCCCGCCTCGAGTCTCTAAAATAGAGCCGAATCCGAGGGAGGGTCAGCTTGACATCTTAGTTCAGATGATACGTCCCGCGACAATACCGATAAGCTCGGCGCAAGCTCCTTAGTGTTCACTTGGGACGGATCCCGATATGGTTTGAGCATGCCGACGTAGAACACGGGATGTGTACGCAATTTGCGCGGCAAATTAAGCGTAAACGCTAGGCCTTTCTTGGCCACGACCGCAAACGGTCCAATGAAGCGCGAATGCAACTTTGTCTCAAAGACAGCAGACACTACTTTAGTAGGTAGGCTCTAAGCATTAACTAAGACTTGGTATTCGCTTTCATAACAGTTAATACAACTTTTGACTTTATCATCAGCATATTTTTGTTTTTCTTGGCTATCAGCCATTGCGTCACGCACATGTCTTAAGACAAGCAACCGCGTCGCGGAAACGCGCTCACCTGTTTCTTAACAGTATTAGGGCTGAAATCAGCAAGCCGATCGGCAACCTCTCCCCCACCAAGCGCCGAACCACTTGGTGGTAGCGTAAACGGAACACACGGATGCGTGAGGCCATTCGCATTAGAACGGAATGTAGCCGGTCGAGGCGTGCACGGAGTTATTGAGTGCAAACTCAACAACAGGGAGCATAGATCTTTATCGCTTAGGCGTTTCGGCACAAACGCTGCGGAGGATATCTTCAAAAACACGATTGATACGTTCAGTTTGACCACCGGTCTGCGGATGATCCGCTGTGGACATGTCTAATCGGGTGCCTAGCACCTGAAAAACGGACTTTCAAAACTTATTCGTGAAGCGTAAATCACGGTCAGAAACAATTGCCACTGGCAAGACATGCTGACATATTACTCGATCGACTGATGTGTTAAAGTAAAAGTTGGAAAGTTTTCCAAAGAAGTGTTTCGAAGAGTGAGTTTTATTACCAACATTATGTGCGCCCTAACTACGAGCACCCTGATTTGCAGCCGCTCCCTTTCTCCTGCACGATGTTAGCACAAGATGTGCTCACCTTCCGTCTTTTCTGTCGCCTGCAAATTAAAATATACAAAACAAAAGGTAATCCTGGAAAACGGCAGTTTCTTGTGTCTTGAGACCTGGTAGCAATTAAAATACCGTTTTCCAACATGATGATCCATTAATCTGGTAAAAGACTGATTAAGGATAATCGTGTTTACCCCGAACACCTGTGTGGGGATCACTATATGCTATATCCTATTATGTAGACGTCAAGCTAGCTAGGGGAATAACGAAATACGCATCACTCTCTCTTTTGCATTTAAATTGTGTGTGCTATTGTTGTCCTTTTTATTTAACTTCTAACATAGGCCTCCATAGGGGGGCTACACGCTAGCACCGTCTTTTTGGTGCATCATGGGTAGCCGGCGGATAGAGACCCAAAACCTCCGGGGCTTGAGTGTCGAGATTCGAGCGAACTGGCTTAAATCCTAGAGAAGAACGCCCGCAGCCGACCGACCGTTTTTCTGGTTAATACAGAAGACTCATGTAAAAAGTGACGGGGAGGCAGACCGTCTAGCGGTTACCTGAACGCGATTAATGGAGCAACATCAGCCACACGAACCGACGTTGTCCCATTAAAATGTCGATGAGAGCGAAATGGGTGAAGTAGCTATTGTGACGACACCACTATTTCCGAAGTATTCACTGTAATAATCAGTCATTGTTGTGACTGATAGTTGAGGGAAGGGGTAATGTAATGTCGTGAGCCCGTTACACAACAATGAAGTGCCAATGTAAATATATCTTATCTGATAATATTCGACAATAGTATCTTTTCTTATCGTATTGTACTCGCATCTTCTTTAAGTTGGAGATGCCTCTAATTGACTGATAGGCCATGATATCACTTAACGCGCTGGCCAATGACAGATGGACGCGCGCAATGAGAGGATGGCAATTAGTCAGCATACATATAAGTATTTATATATCGTTAAAATAGGTTTCAAATGATTTCTATTAAGAAGTCTTTAACTACTGTATATATAATACAGTTTTCCTTTTCTACAACTAAGCGTGTTCGTTTAGTTGTATAGTTTTGTCTGCTTCCGTCAATGTACATGAAATTCCGAAGCACCTGCTTACACTTTCGTCAGTATGCCATTTTCAGTATAGTCAGATACCATGTACAAGCTGACAGGAATAAAGGATTTCGCGTACACGTAGACAGTTTAGGTTCGTTAAATTGTGAGCGGAACGACTCCACCTCATCCAAAAAGCGTTATGCGAGTCTCGACCGAGCCCATTAAGCACGTGTCGTCTGGAAGGACAGCCATACGGCTAATTCGAATGCGGCAAGAAACACACGCAAGGAGACAGCAATGATATCTACCGAAGACCAGACGACGGATGCTTGATTGCATCCAATTCCGGACAGCGCTGCAGTGACTCGATGGAAGCCACCGACACGAAACAGGGGCGCTGGCGTTCTAAGGGTGAGTTTTCACCCGGAGGATTACACCAACTACGCTGCCCACATAGGAATGCAAAGAGCGGGCGGTACGGCTGAAAGAAATGTTTGAGGCGGTGCAGGAGGCGATGAAGGCAGCTACGCCTGGAGTATGGATAGCTACGATAGTAAAATTGTACAAAATTGAGCATGATGCTGTGACTATTGCTGCGGAACTAATGCCTACCGGAAATAAGAAACACTTTTCAAAATTACGACACAC